ATAATAATTTTCTATTTTTCTTTTATGTACAAAGTAAGATACTAAATAATATACAATAATATACAATAATGTACAATAATATACAATGATCTCTTTAACTATCAATGTTAATAGCATGTAACAACATTCTTGTAGTGACACATATTTCTTCACCTTCAAGGTTCGTATGAAGTAACCTCGAAGTAGTCTCGAAATAATACATATAAAGCCATATTATCATGTCTCACGAGTGTCTGTCCGAAGTGAAAATTCTTCAAGGCATCTTGAAGTATAAAAGAACATTATGTATAGTAATAATAATAAATAACTATGTATCAGAATAAAGAAATAATCCAGTTATCTAGTAACAGAGTGACCACAATGAGCCAAAGTAATCCTACAAACCAGTAGTTCCTATTACAAGAAAAGTATAATTGGTATGTAGATACTATACTATCTCAATAAATTTATGCAAACCCCCCATTACTGTTTTCTGTTATTATTGTTGTCTTTAATTTTATTGAGATAGGTGACAAAACATGTGCTTGTTTCGAGCACCAAAAAATTAGATCAATATTCCTAACACTGATTATCCCCACTACACAAGAGTTGTACCCAGATACCAAGTAAATTCTAATGTGTAAGTGATTATGAAATCTCTATTACATGTATTTATCTTTGATGTTTTTCTAAGATAACATTGATTTCTTCATTGAAAAAATTATAAAACAGTTTGGGGCGAACTGTCTATAGTTATTAACAAACTCATGGAAATTGACAATATGGGCTTCAGATATATCATCATTCACTCAAACCCATTATCCGTAGTACATCGACTTCTTTATAAATGGTAAAGGTGATGTGCGTAACTATTACCAATTAATAATTATATCACAGTTAACCATCAACTATTGAACAATATATCCTTGCCACCTATGCATAAATTTAGTCGACTATTATCCCCCCCACACACACTCTCTCTCTCCTCCTCCTCCTCCTCCTCCTGATATAACTGCAAAAACGTCATACATTGCATAATCATTAACATGTAAGATTATGCTGATAAACAAAATATAGATTATGCATAATTTTTTGAAAACATGAACTCCCAACAAATATGAATTGATATTACCATATCAGTCGATATACTTCCCAATAAATTAATGAATACATATTCAATTCTTTGAAGGCATTGCAGATATTGATAAATGTTTTATTTCACCATAAATAAAACCTAGGTAAGGGAGAGGAATCAAAGCGGATTGATCTCTTGTGAACATATCTTGCCAGGCTGAAAACAATCTACCACGACCTAAACCCATCATACTTTGTGGTATCCACAATTGTTGTAAACAAAACCCAATTCAACACTCCTAATTAGTCAAATCAATTGACTGTCACACATCTCTTATATAGTTAGTACCCGGAATGTCCTTAAAAGAACGTTGGATTAATTTTTCATATGCACTATTTCACACGTCACGTGATATGGATATATATATTTATGTATGTACTTTTGAACTTGTACAAAGGACAACCCTTTGAAATTTAAGCCCAAATACCTGAATAAAACTGTTAAAGTAAGTGTTAAATATTGACTTTTTGAACCTGTTTGCTGCTTTGGAGACGAAATTTATATTTATTCAACTGTGTCAAGGGTTTCTTATTACATTATTATTATTAGGATTAATGAAAAATCGTTGAGAGCCCTTAAATATCGCTAATTAATAATATCTGGTTAACTTTAATTTAGAGTACTATTACGTTAAAAGAATATAAATATCTATTTAGAAAAAAGGTAATTATTTTTTGCTTATTAGATGAATGGTAATAATTCTGATGATGAACTCTCTATTAAGAGTGCATTTTTCAATGAAGGTTCTGTGCCTAGTTTTTTAGAACTTTTAGACTCAACATCTATCAATCAATTGGCTAATAGATATTTTGCTAGTAAAATACTTAAAGAAAGGGCAGATTTAGATGACTGGAAACAAAAATCTAAAAATAGTTTCAAAACTATAGATTTGATCTTACAAAAGGCCTTTTTCAAAGAAACTACTAAAATTGAAAAAATATTTTATCCTTTCACTTTAATTAATATATTCTTTATTGGATTTATAATGGGTAAATTTCCTGAATGGTTTCATGTTTATTATACCTGTTTATTGTTATTATTGATGCCAATAAGATTTTATACATATTATAAAACCAATAATCATTATTATTTGGCAGATTTATGTTATTTTGTTAATGCACTTTGTTTGGTATACATTTGGATTTGGCCTAATTCAGTTAACCTTTATCAATCTTGCTTTGCTTTCGCTTTTGGTTCTTTAAGTTTTGCAGTAATTACATGGAGGAACTCTTTTGTTATTCATTCGATTGATAAGATCACTTCATGCTTTATTCACATGATGCCACCTTGTACATTTTACATTATCCATCATGGTTTAACGAGAGAACTCCAACAAGAAAGGTTCCCAGCTGTTATAAAATCTTTAAAACATGATTCTGAACATTGGGATTTCAAATATAACATTTTATGGACATCGTTCTACTATTTAATATGGCAGTCTTTATATCACTATTTTATCACATTAAAGAAATCAGCGAAGATAAAGTCAGGATTAAGAACAACCAGTTTTACTTATTTAACTTCTCATAATTTTAAAAATGTTTGGTTAGCAAAACTGCCTGCTCCTTACCCTATGATTGCGTATACTTTATTACAATACTGCTATCAATTGACGACAATGTCATTATGTGGTATATGGTTCCATTATAAATTCTTAGCAGCATCCTTCTTATGTTTTATATTCCTATGTGCCAGTTACAATGGTGCTAAATATTACATCGATTACTATGGGAAGAAATTTGAGAAGGAATTAAAGGCAGTCAAAATGCAAGTAGAAAATTTACAACAGGAAAATGCTCAGTTAAATTCTAAATTGAACAATGAGTATAAAATAAATGGGTCGGATAATTCAAGTGAATTAAGTGAATAATTATATAAAAATTAATGGGTAAGGGTATAATTTTATATATACATATATTCTATAAAAATATTTAACAATATAATAACTAATAAGTTTATTTACAAGTTTGATGCTAATATTACAATGTCAAAGAGGAAATTGTCTCTTCAATTGTCTGTACTTTTGATTTTCTATTAACAATATCTAATAGAATGTCTATGCTTCTTGAGTCTTCAATTTCTAACAAGCCACGGTGCAAATTCTTAACCATAGGATATTTCCAATCAATATATCTTTTAGATGACATTACTACATGCAATGCATCGGTATACATTTTTTGAGAGCTAAAAAATGCAACCATAAGCTCAGCAAATTTTGTATCTGACTCCATTCTGTTATTTTGTGCTAATTTTTGGAAACTCGAAGATTTCCTGAATTTACCTCTTTCTTCCCATGCTTCCGTTGCTAGTTTTATATCATTAAATTTTGAAGCTGCTTTCATAGTTAATTCATAAGTGGAACAGTTTGCCAATATTTTATGTTTTAGTGATAAAATATAGTGAGCAAGCAAGTCGTTTGGATCTTCAGCTAGTTCAATAGAAGTATCTTCCGATGTAGAAGGTGAACTAGAATTCTTATCATTATCTTCGACCATCTTATTGTTAGATTCCAAGTAAAAGCTTTCTATTTTGGAATCAAAATCATGTTGCTGGAATGTGAATTCCTTTAATCGTAATACAAACTCTTTCTTATCATGTAACTTTATTGGAATAGTCAAATATGTATTCAAAACGATTGAATTCAAAACATCTGTATTAATAGTCTGTGATTTTAATTCATGTATTTTAGAGAATATATTCCATTTAAAATCGTCTATTGTTTTTGAATTTTCCACAGCTGTCATTATGGTAGATTTGTCGACAATTGATTCACTAGTTGATCTTAAACTTGTTGATCCACCATATTCTAAATTGAAGTGCCATATAGCACGAGATTCGGCTAGTAATTCCCAGTTATGTTTTATTTCAGTAACTGGTAGAAATGGTAACAAAACTCCTAAATCGTCATCAAATTCAGATCTTCCTGAATAATCTACACTATTGATAATATTTCTTCTCAAAAGGATACCTTGTTCATAGCCTAACAAGAGAGGTAATTTATTGGAATTGTAATTGGAATAAGCCAGAAATAAGTAGTTCAACATACGTGGATCAAGTACAGATTTCCATATTTTAACATAATCTCTTTTCCCAACCCAATTTTGTACAACATTTCTGTACTTTGTTGTTACATAACAATGATATAAGGCTCTTGACATACCTACATCACCATCATATGCAGCCAGTGCAATCATTGATTCCAAAGATTTGTGAGATAATTTGGATCCAGTAGTTTCAATGATTTCATGAATAAACTTCCAACCTAAAAGTCTTAATGATTCACTTTTACCTTCACTTGTAAATGAATCTCTACTTGCAATAGCTAATATTTTGGCCATTATGGTTCTCGTAGATGTGCCTGGATTAATCCCCGAGTTAACCATTTCATTGTAAATGTCTAGTGCCTTTGAATAATCCTTATCTCTACTACACAGAGTCAGGACACTATTATAAGCAATCAAGTCTGGGGCATGTTCCTTTGATAAAAACTTCATAGTATCAAAAATATCCCACGATTTTTTTGAAATACCCATTCTAATATAATATTGAAGAACAGTTGTATAGTTGATTCTATTTGGGATAATTCCATATCCTTTGAATTTTGTCAAGAAATATTCCATATGTTCATGATTGTTTAGCTTACTTGCGAATTTTATTCCATTATTTAATATGTATTGAGTCATCTTCGTATCGGTACCTTTTATTAAAGCTTCATCATATCTCTCCAATAATTCTTTCATTTTCACAATAACTTCATTTGACATATTCGGATCTGTGAGTTTAATATTAGATAAATTTTCGAATAATGATAAATACATTTCTGTAGTGAATTTTGTAATGTCATTATCAACATATTCTAATAACATTTTGTCCAATCTTTCAATATTATCAAAATATAACCCTTTTACAGACGAAAGTAAAGTAGAATTTAATTTGTTTTTACCTATACCATTTAAACCTTCACGATTTTTAGATATACTTTTTATAATAGGATTCCAATTTTGTCTTGTTTTATCAGTCAAACATTTTAAAACCAAATTATTATCATTTAATCTTGTAACCAAGGTCGAAGGTAAAAACTTTTGAGCTTGTTCGAGTGAAGAACCTAAAATCAAAGATGATAAATTTGTCGATTGATTCTGTGAATTTCCAATGGGGATACCTAGATGATTTTGAACTTTATGATTTTTTCGACGTTCATGATTTGATAAATTTTCAAATACAGAATCGGCGTCTTTATTAATTTCCTCAAGATCAATATCATCTTCAGTTTCTCGTTTTTCATTTCTTGATTCAGAACGTTTAATTTGTGCCTTTAAATTTTTTGTAAATTCTTTTAATTGTCTGACTTTGAATTCCAATTCTTTAGTATTAACCTTTTTTAAATTAACAGAATTCAAGTCATCTAATGATATTGAAGTCACCTTTCTCTTTCTTCTTTTTTTATTATTCAAGTTTGTAGTATCATCTTGACTGAAATTACCACGTCTCAGTCCCTGAAGACTTGGAATAATAGCAGTTCTCTTCAAAATAAGTGAAGATGCTACATTATGTAATCGGTAATTCCTTGTGTATCGCAACATCCAGATTTAAAATAAAAGATTTATTTATATCCTAAACACAGGCCCAAGGTAAAATTTTCAATGTTAATAGCTAATAAATCCTCAAATCAATTACAATTACAAATATTTCCGCTATAATAATTTAATCTAAATGAACCCCTTAGAAGTGTTATATGTACAACCTAGTAGCCTATAAATATTACTTCTTTCTTCAGATTTATAACAATTGTTCAGTATCTAAACTGTTTTTTTTTATGAATTGTTAAATGAGCTTTAAATTGTTGTAGTGAAAAATTTTGATATCTGATGAAAAATAAAAAAAATGAGATGAGATGAGATGAGATGAGCTCTAAAAAGACGAATTGTCAATATACTTTTAGAGTTGTGTTAGGAAGTGATCAGGCTGTATATACTCTAGGTTATTTAGTGTTTATTATTGGCCAGTTTTAGTTTAGTAGGAAAATAGTGGATTCAGTTTGGTTGACTATTGATAATTTTTCAATTTTCCATATAATTAATATTTTAATTTAGAGAGGAAGAATGAGTGATTCTGTTCAAGAAGTCGATAAATCCAAGATCAAAGGTGCCCTAGTTAGTGGTAGAAGCTGGAAGGTTGAGAAAGATCAGTTCAGGGTGAATAGTAGAGTTGTTAAAAATAAGAAATTAACATCTTGGGAGGCTAAAGAACAAAAGAGATTAGAAGACAAACAATTTAAGGCTAAACTAAAAGAATTGAAAGATGAAAAGTCTGAAACACGTAGAATTAGGATAGAAGCATTGAAAGAAAGAAGAGAAAAGAAGGAAGAAAAGGAAAGATATGAAAGAATGGCTGTTAAGATGCATGCAAAGAAGGTTGAAAGGTTGAGAAGAAGAGAGAAGAGAAACAAAGCCTTAAAAGAACGTTAGTATTTATCATATAAATACCATTATCGTACATTGTTTATAACTCTACTGGCTCATTGTTATATCTTAGTGTATATGTGTGTTTGTATTTTTATCAAGATATCTAATTGCATAGACGTATTATATTGTATAGTATTTTTTGTTAGGTAATACACAATCAATTTTTAAGTTAAAACTTCATATTTGCCTTTTCTGGGTCACCAGATTAGAGGTAGATATTATCCTGATAGGAAGAATGCAAATATATTAGCTCTCGAATGATCGTGTTTGAAGGTACTTAGGTGTGGTAATTTTACAAAAAAAATTTAATGCGAATTCTGTGGATCGAACACAGGACCTCCAGATAACAGATGATTCGACCGAAGTTAATTCTTCAGTCTGGCGCTCTCCCAACTGAGCTAAATCCGCTTATTTCTTGGAAGTTTGAAAAATAACAATCACTTTAAGTGAATTAGTTTTTAAAATGAAACAACAGTTAATTCTACTTTGTGGCAGAATAACCGCAAGATTGTTGGAAACCAAAAACGTTACTGGTAATCACTCGGTCTCATATAGGTGTATTTCGAATCTAAGCTGTTACATACCATATTTGTAGAGAATCACTTAGTTGTTTCTGTCAGAAATTATGTGATGACGTAAAGTCATACTCATTAATTCAATATTAATAAGGGTGAAGAATTATATGAAACATCATTATTAATAAGGGATAAAGAAATGTTTCTAATACGAAAGTATTTACTTCTGACGTGTGAATAATATCTAAACATTGTATATAAAGACTGATAAGATCTTAATTGACACTTATCATATGTACTATATTCCCATGTGTATATTTTATACTTTAATACACCGGATCAATATCATCTAATTAAAAATGTCCTTGCAAACAACTAAACAATCAACTACTATTAATGATTCTGTAAAGAATCCACAACCCTCTGATTCTCTACAGTTTCTTTCCTACATCTTTCATTATGTTAGATTCTTTATTTATTTCCAGGGTCATTATTACTGAGTTGATTTTGCTCTGGTATTCTGAAATATATAATATACTCATGGAAATGTATTTAATATGATAAGAATGAATTAAGATCTTCTCAATCTTATGTACAGCTTTTGAAAAGTTTTTACGTCAGAAAAAACATTTCCGTGTAGAGTAACATTTCTTTATCCTTTACGAATAATGTTGTGATGAGTATATCTTATGCATCACATCATAATTCTGACATAAATAGTCACTGAAAGTTTATATCCAAGAGTAGACACATTATTTTTAATGTTTTTTTATCTCAATTTGGTTTAATCAAATAATATCTTTTGGTCCGTATTATTTTTCATCTTTTTTCAATTATAACCCTGTCATCTAAAATTGATGTCAAGAAGTTATATAGATAAATCAAGGAACTGAAATGACAAAATACATAACAGATACAAGAATATATAGGAATGCTTAAAAACAATCTTCAACAAAATCTAATGGGACATTAGAATTTTCTCAAAAGAGGTGGCATGAATCTTTTTGTAACATCAATCCCTGAGTGTTTATGGAATGGGCACAAACTGGTAATGAAAAGTATTCCATGTTGTTGTTGATATGGAATTACTTTGAGCAAGCAATAGGTTAAAGGATTTTCTCACTTTAGTCTATATTAATAAGTTATAATTCTACTTCTTGATATATTTTTGTGACGAAATTTTAACGTTTTGGACCTAGGTAAACTTTTCAAACTATTGTTCTCCCAAACATAAAACAATCTTGAAGAAGTGCCAGTAAATATACAAGTTAATGTTTAAATCACTATTTGAACCCGAAAAAGAGGTACAATAGTACGGGAATAACAATTATTTATAAGCTTCATATATTTTGTGTCTTTCCTTATCACAGAATAACAATGGTAACTTATTTGCACTTTAACTAAGTATATAAAGTAATATTGTCTCTAATTCTAAATTTTTAAGAAAAATAATATATTGTATTGGTGTAAATTTACTGTTTACTATTGTCCATTATAGAAAATCTAACTATTAGTTTCAATAATTGCAATTTCCGTTTTTTGAAAAAGGAGCTATTAAAATTTCCCAATCTTTGTCATAATATAAACGTAAAAAACAATGATTACTTACAAACTCCCTACTAGCTGTCCAGAAAAAAATTTTTCTGAAAAAATTCCTATTGTTGGTTCTACCGGTTTGGAAGAAAAATGGCCATTGGTGTCCCTTTTGGACATTAATTTTTATTTATTAAACTCTAACGAGATTAAGCAAAAATTGAATCCAAGATCTGATATTGAAATTCCATCCAACCATCAAAAAATGAATACAATTAAAATTGTTAAAAATATATTTTGTATTAATAGACGTTCTCAAACACTGGATTTATTTAACAAGGATGCTCTTGAATCCGTCAAAGTAGGAAGAATTAAATTCAAAGATTTAGAGTATCGTTTGGATAAAACTCCAGGGGAAACGTCATATGAATCATCTTATTTAACAAATGAAATAGAATCAGGTAAAATAAACTTTGATTGTGAGCATCCTTTCAGTCCATTATCTTTTGAATTACAGAAGAAAAGAGCTCAATTGACCTATAAAGCTAAGGAAGGTAATATGTTACAAATTCAATTCGAAATTTCTGTATACCATATAATTATTCCAACTTCCAACCAATGGCCAACTTTATTGCCAAGAATTTTTAATCCTGCAACTGTAATTGAGAAAGTTGAAGATAAAGAAAACTCAATTTTACCAACTGGATTGCCAGATTTGAAAAATATTCCAACAATGATTTCATCCTTAGGTTTGAACCATAGGCAACAGATCACAAGAGAAAAGTCTTATAGGGCAATTGACTTTGATTTAACATTGAAGTTAACCCAAACTTTTGCCAATAACAATAATAAGAAATTAGTCGTTATTACGACATTTAACAATAAAGTTGTCAGTAAAATGTTTAGATATTTCCATTTTAAATTTAAAATTGAAGAAGCATTACAAAATGAATTAAATCCAAAGTTAAGTCAATTAGTTATATTAAGACCAGGTCCAATCGTTGGTGTTCCGATGACAGATGCTATAAATCCAGAATTTAACCCAATATTGAAAAAATCTGATAATTTAGTCGAACAGTCTATACTATTAAAGAAATATTTACTAGACTATAAATTGGCTACACTCAAAAAGTATCGTTCAACTGGTATTGCACCAAGATTGACTGACATTTTGGCAAAAACTATGTACAGAAAGCCAGGTACTTCAGTCTTAGGATATTGTATACCTGCAACAAAAGTTGCTAAAGTAGCTGCATTAAAGGCAATTGAACCAACAATTGCATCTACATACAGTAAACCAGATGTACAGATAATTACAAGTAGACAAATAGATGAACTTGTTTAAATAAAAATCATTCAGTACAACCATGCAACAAGAGTTTACAAATATTTCAGTCTTTTTTTATCTTAGAAAGTTGATTCAATAATAATTTTTGTAAGTAATTCTATAGTTATCTCTTATATAATGATTAAAATAATAATACAGGAAAACCAGGATAAGATAAGCTTAGAACAAAAAGAGTTAATATTAGAATCTACCTTCTCTTCTTTTATATATCTTTACAATCAGCATTAATGGCACAATTATTAACTATAGTGCTATTTTGTTATGGCCTTTGAATATGGTCAATTTTAGGCGATGACTACTCAGTGAAAAGAACGCGAAATTATTCAATATAATAATAATAATAATAATAAGAACAAGAGATATTTCATTGATGATATTATTAATAGTGATAGAGATAGTAATAGTTATAGTAATAGTTAATAAGATATTCTTTTATATTAGAGATAGTTGGTCGTTCTATCAGACTCATTGATGCATGTCATTTTGTAGTAGCGTATAAGTTTTCATAATGTCGGATCTACTTGAATTAGAGCAAGATGTTACAGCACTTCGAAGAGAAATCGAATCCCTTACAAAGAGAAGAGATGCTGTTAAAGACAAATTAGCTAATAATGAAATTGAAGAATATACACAGAAACCTATTTCTAAGGATTTTGAAGATTTGTTTCAAAGTCATCCACAATTGTACGACTTATTATCTTCTGATAAGGATAAGAATAAGAGTAAGAAGAAGCCATCTTCGGAAGAGAGAGATGAGGGGAAACATATGACAAGTGAAATTTCTAATAAACGTGTGAAACCAAACGAGCAAGATACAGATATTAGCGAAGATGAGTGGATATTGAAATCACAGCCTTTGGTGCAACATAAAATGTTTAATTCAGGGATTTCAGATATGATCAATACCGATATTTTAACATCACCATCTAAACGTAAATTAAAGCTAGGTAATATTGATGATGACAGTGAGACTAGTAAAGGAAATAAACAGAAAAATTTGAATAAAAAAATCAGAATTGAAAATTTATTTCGGTTATTTGGCATTACATTTTTCCCATTAGTTGATCCAACAGATTTAAAGATGAATAAAGAATTAAAAACTATGGAAATTAAAAGAGAAATGTTAGGTATACGATTAGAAATTTATAATGAACACAATTCAACTTTCGAGAAACCCCATTATATCTTATTAAAGAAAAAATTGAAAATTGATAGTTGGATGATTTTTAAGCATACAATACCATCTTATATCGATATTGAAAGCAAATGGTTTGGAATTAATAATGGTATGTTAAATACCTATGATGAAATAAACGTCTTCGCTAAAGAAGTTTACATTGAATTAATACATGGAAATATAAGAGAACAAAAAATTCAAAAATTAACAGAATTAGAATACATCAGAGATTGTCAAACCGATGTCAATTCATCTAGAGTTATATTAACATTAATAGATCAATATGAAATAGAACTATTCCTAAAAAATGAAACTATAGTATCCTGTAAGATTCCAACAGATAGAATGGAACCAATGTTGAAAAATAAGTGGCAAATAATTCTTTTGGGAACAATAGATGAACTTCCGAACAAACTATCACAATTAAATAATATGTTAAATTAACAAAATAATAATCAAGAATTGACAATTCCATAAGTTAATTAGTTATCTTATTGAGAATCCAGACCAAGACTGTGTCACCTTTTTATAATCATTGTCATTAACATTGGTATTGTTATCACTACAAACGAGCGCCATCCAAAATATTTTAATCCCATAATAAAGAAAAATTTTCATAGTGAACAATTTTGCGATGAGATTAGAAACTTAAAAAGTATTAAAAGTTATGAATTAAAGAGTTAACATATAAAGCTTGTTGTTAGTTGATTTAATCATTCCTATATTCAAATTATTGTAATCTAGTGTGTTAGAAGTAACCAAATATAGTTCGCCATGCATTTGATGTACACTTTAGGCCCAGATGGCAAGAGAGTTTATACTTTGAAAAAGACCACTGAAGAAGGTGAAATTACTAAATCAGCTCATCCAGCTAGATTCTCTCCAGATGACAAACATTCTAGACAAAGAGTTACTTTGAAGAAGAGATTTGGTTTATTACCAACTCAATAAATGGAAAGAGGTTTGTTACAATAATTTAGACTATGTTAAGAGAGTAAAGAGCAAAAAGATGGATACTTCTCAGCTTCCTTCTTTTATGTATGTATATTAGTGTATCCATTGATATAGATTTATATATTTCGATGTAATAAAATGTTTACAATGAAATAAAATGTTGGGTTTATTTATTATTACCATATCTTATTTTAAAAATTTTTTTATTTTTTTTATGAACCATTTATAAAATTAAATATTAAATTATGTTAAGTATATTACATCTTAGCACCTATAGAAATAACGATCCAACAGAGATATTGATAAATATAGGAATATCTTGTCAGGGGACTAAACATATATAACATCGTATCAATATGCCTAATGAATCTGTAGAGGTTACCACTATTTGCAGAGATGTTTCAAATTCTCAGTTCATTTTACAATGTCCTATTGAAGGCCATCCAGATAGTGCCGCAGATGTTGAGGGTTCAACTCAGAGAAATTTACCAAGAATTAAGATCTTAGGTACTGGTGGTACTATAGCTTCGAAAGGGAGTGATTCATCACAGACTGCTGGTTATCATGTAGATTTAACTATTCAAGATATGTTAGAATCTATTCCTGATATTTCGGGTATTTGTGAAATAGAATATGAACAGTTATGTAACGTTGATTCAAAAGATATCGACGAAAGTTTGTTATATAAAATTTATAAAGGTATTTCAGATTCTTTGCAAAGTTTTGACGGTATTGTTATCACTCATGGTACTGATACATTAGCGGAAACTGCATTTTTTATCGAAAGTACGATTGACTCTGGCGATGTACCAATTGTATTCGTTGGTTCTATGAGACCTTCCACTAGTATATCTGCCGATGGTCCAATGAACCTATATCAAGCCATCTGTATAGCCTCTAGCACCAAATCAAGAGGCAGAGGTGCTTTGGTTTCATTAAATGATCAAATTTCAGCAGGTTACTATATTACGAAAACAAATGCCAATAGTTTAGATTCTTTTAATGTTAGACAAGGTTACCTAGGAAATTTCGTAAATAACGAAATTCATTATTATTACCCACCTGTTAAACCACAAGGCTGTCATAGATTTAAGTTGAAAGTTAGTCCAACTGAGACTAAGTTCAGTTTTCCAAAAGTTTGTATTCTATATGCTCACCAAGCTGTTTCCTCTGAATTACTTGATCTGGTATCAACTCGTTATGAAGGGATAGTTATTGCAACATTAGGTGCAGGCTCATTACCAGATGAAGTCAATGCCAAATGCTTATCATTAAATATCCCAATAGTATATTCAAAGAGAAGTAGAGATGGTATGGTACCAATTGCAAACCTACCAGGTTGTCAAGAAGAGGTAAATTATAATCTAATTGCATCAGGATATTTAAACCCAGAAAAGAGCAGAATTCTTTTACAGCTATGTTTAGCTGGTAGTTACTCATTCAACGAGATAAGACATGTATTTAGTGGAGTATATGGTGGTTAAATATCAGGTTATACCAGCCCTGTCATCGATCGTGTAATCAATTATAAATTGTTACTTTTCAAAATTATAATATTAAACGTAAAGTCATTTTAACTACAATTCAATCATAATTCAATTTTAGTTGATTATGGCAAGAAATCCATTAGTTGTCATTTCTATTTTACAAAATTTCTAGAAAATTCCTTAACTTTAGTCATGTATTATAACCTTAATCCCTACTGTTAAGTACAGTTTCCTATGCGACATTTGATTAATTAGAATATATATAAATTATATAATATCATATTATACTGCACTATATTGTGATTAAACGCATATTTTTTGTACTATATGATGGTGCTATATATTGTGAAGACTTAGATCACATGATCAACACTTCGGTAAACCGATTACGGGAACTAATTACGGGAACTAATTAAATAAAATTAATTATTATGGAATGTAGACTGACGTTATAAATAGATATATTCATATCTGTGTGCCTGGATTCTTATTAAATAATTCATCAATACATCAAAGAAGTAAGTTGGAGTAGTAACACTCATTGAATTATTATTTAATAAATGGACTACCAAATAGTATTATTGTAGACATGTATAAGAAGATGGGTCCCTAACTATGCAACTAATAGCTTCCCAATTATATAGAAATGACAGGGTAAGAGAATTAGTTACACAATCAAGTTAACCATATCTGCATATAATATTACTATAACCTTTGTTCTAAAATATAATAGATATGTAATTTGATTTTGGGCCAGGACTTATAATCGATGGATATCCGCCGCGCCGCACCGAAAGAAAGGTGGTAATTACCAACAATACTCAAGAATCCAATTAGTTTCTATAATTCTATTTATAACAAGGGGATTTTCAGTTATAATATATATCCATATTGCAGTATTATTACACAATGGTCTGTTCAATGTTAATTAGTATTCAATCCTGACCGTAGTCACTAGACAAAGTTGTAATTATCGTTTACTCTATCTTTATTTTATGTAAAGTTCTCTTGTTAATTGGAGAAAACAAAACGTTGTTTCTAACGTTTGTCATTGTGTTCTCAAACTTATTTATATAATAAAATGAAAGAACACTTTACGATAATCGACCTTCAAATCCAATTCTTCCAGACGAATAAAATAGAACAAACTATTCTTGATAGAAAATAAATTAGAAAAATCAGAAATATATGTATCCAAGTAACGAACAAAAAAAAAACACAATAAGACCTAATATTTGAACCAGGGCCAACAAAATCTGTAATGGGAAAAATAATGTACTAATAACTAAGGTAAGATAAATATTACCATGTTATTTTAAGAAATCACTCCGCGTCAGTGACCACGAAATTGATGAGAACATATGATATTAAAATATAACATTAGAAAAATTATAAAAGCACTAAAAGTAATCTTCCCAACAATATCATACATCGGAAACATAAAGTGGCATGCTCATAACTTTACTTCAAAACTGAAAATCACAGCAAACTAGAAAGTTTTTATATGATTCATTTTGTACCTTTTTAACATCTGTTAAAGATTTTGAATTTTATAACAAGTAAAGATAAATTTATTAGTTATTTCTTGTTATAAAAAATTTGTAAAAAACAATATCTTGTGCTCAAAATATCGAAATAGACAAATTGAAAACTTGGATAAAATATCAAAGAAGAAATGTCATCTTACACTAATAAAATAGAAATTGCGGTACCTATATAAACTAGAGGGCGGGTATGACTATGCATATATATGGAATAATTCTACTGTATTTTGGAGATATACCTCCGTATCCACCTCCAATACTGAATCATTCGGCTCTCGTTAAAATGCTTAGTTACATAAGTGTTATCTATTATAGAAAAGAAGATAAAAACGTGATGAATTCCACAATTGATGAATTAGATTTTAGGAATTCAATCCTTATTCTTCATAGAAGATTATCTATCAACGAAATAGCTCGAATTATCAGTTCCATTCCCCGATATGTAACTTTCTAGATTAACATTACTGACACGTCCACTTAGCCTATACAGAAACGATCTATACGTTAAACCTCTACTATTAAATTGAAATGCTTGGCTTGGGATTGTGGGTAACCCGACGTTGCTGTAAAATTAAGTTTGAACAGACAATGGCATTCCTTAGGGAAAGTCTCCGTTTTACTTCAAATAATGAGAGAGAAATTTACATAAAATAGTAATAGCGTATACGATAATTACAACTTTATCTAGTGACTACGGTCAAGATGGAATACCAACTGACATTGAACAGGCCCCGTTGTGTAATGAAACTGTAACATGGATCCATCGATTCAGTAGAAGTTATGACCCAAAATGATTGAATTTGGGTTCTAAATGGAATCTCATTAAATATTACCGACCACCAACCTCCTACCTGATACTTGGGCATCAATTAAAAAGGGTAGTATAATCAAATCCATATTCAGTAAGAAGAATAGGTAAATAAATAACGAGAAAGATATGAAGAATATAAAGAATATGTCGGCAAAAATTTAATTATCTTAAAGGGAATACTATCCCAACAAAGAAGCTCGTATACCCAAATATAGAGAGCATCGACATTTCAAGAAAGACGCAAGGGAAAAAGGAAAATAAAACATTCACCATTTTGAATTACGATTGACGTAACGATAAATCCCGGCGGATAACAAGATAGTTTAGGTTACTCTCTGTATTTTCCTTTTAATCTAAATAAAACGGTACTAGTGCTAATTTTATGACAAGTAGTTAATGACAATGGTCGTTTAGCAAATATGGGATTCTAATAGCCTAGTAGGTCATGGTAAGATTTAACTTTGATAGATTCCAGTAGAGAAAGACTATCTAATCCTATTACATTTTAGTCTATTTTCTCTTGCCTGTTTTTTTCTTTAATATCTTTACTGAATGAATAGGTATATGAATCTGAGTATGTATGTCTTTATGTGATGGTACATATTGAAAGGAACAATTAAGTATAAGAGCTACCAGTTTATAGAATAGATGCAAAAATTCGAATAACAACGAATGCCTGTATTTTTACCCTACTTTAGCTTGCTTCTTGTCCATTCTGACTTAAGTTGTTCAGGCCACTGTGTACTACCCGCACAAGCTTACACAGAGACATACACATACTAAAGTTCATAAAAAGAAACGAAACACGAGAAAAAAGAAAAGAAAATCATGTTTTTGTGATCATTTTCATTGTAACACAAAGACAAAACGCAGAGACACAAAAGCGGTGGCGGCACTCAGCATTTCTTATTTTGTTTTGCATCTTTCTCTTTCTCTTCCTTTCTCCCTGTGACAAAAACCGCTCTTCGAGTGAGTACAACAATCTCATTCGGTCCTCGTACGCGTGGCATCCTCCCCCATCCTCATCCTCATCCTCATCCTCGTTCCCTTACCACTTTTTTTTTTCACCTAAATTGCGGTTGTCTCCGTCTCTTTTCCCTCGTAAAGAAGGCATCAATTCTCAATCTGACCCAAATCACATAACACAACAAAATAGACCGGACAAAACAAGACAGGAGAGAACCACCAACGAACCAATCAATCAATCAATCAATCAACTAATGCCCATACAATTGCTTTTCTACTATATTAATTATCATTGTTATGCACACTAGCAGACTCTTGAAAATTGTAATTACTTATAAATAAAAAGACTCTTCTTCATAACTTGGAAAGAAAGCAAACAACGGCGACAACAACAGCTACAACTACTACAACTACAAAAGACTACAAGAGACTACAAGAGAAAAAGAGAACCAAGGAAAAAATTTTCATACATTTGATGTCATCGCTGAAACTACCCTTACTCTTCTCTCTCTCTCTCGAAAGGAAAATGGGTTAAACTAGTTTCAATTGCTGTTGTTCTCTTGTTCTCTTGTTCTTATTGCACCGGAAGTCGAAGTCGTAATCGTAGTCGAACTCGAACTTGCACTCGAACTTGAATTCGAAGTCTTCGTCATCGTGTCTTTGAAACGAATCAAATCAAAATCATTGAACGATATTGGTCTTCTATTTTTTATTCACAGTGTAGTGTAGAAATCATATCTCTTCTTAATTGCATCGTGTATTCCTCTTCCTCTTCTTTTGTATACTGTTATTTTTCTTCCTCTTGGGCTTCATATTATCTCACTTTATTCTTATACAGAGCGAACTCAACTGGACTGGACTGGACTGGACTAACCTTACACCTGCGATGGTATGGATGTCAAATTTTGCATCTTATTAATCTGAAATATCCTACTCTGTTCTCTCTGTAATAATTTTTTTTTGTTTTGTTTTACTTAAATTATCTAAGGTTCTATACCATCTTATATACTTACTTATATATATATATATATATATATAACAGTGTGTCTGTCTATGAATGTCTTTTTACAGATAATAAGTACGATTTATTATTATCTGATTTCAATTACTTCTTATTCCTAGAGCACCGTGATTGCAAATTTAAAATATCAGTTGGATATTCTCATTATTTATTAATTTAATTATAATAGAATCATGAATTCTACTGATATAGTAGTATTCGGTTTACTTGCCGTTGGTTTGTTTGCTTATTTCAAAAGAGAAACTTTGAAAGAACTTTTAAGCTCTGATGATAGCGATATTGCTGTAACTACTGGTGGTTCAAGAGATATTGCCCAAATTGTTCGTGATAATAATAAAAATTATCTAGTTTTATTCGCTTCCCAAACTGGTACTGCTGAAGATTATGCAAAGAAATTTGCAAAAGAGTTAGCTGCAAAATTCTCTCTAAATGTTATGTGTGGTGATGTTGAAAATTATGATTTCGAAACTTTGAATGAATTACCAGAAAATTGTATTGTTTCAATCTTTATCTCTACTTATGGTGAAGGTGATTTCCCTGATGGTGCTATTAACTTCGAAGAATTTTTATCAAACGCTGCCGATGTCAATTCTTTGCCAAATGTCAATTTCACTTTATTTGGTCTAGGTAACTCTACTTATGAATTTTACAATGGTGCTGCTGGTAAAGCTTTGAAACATTTAGAAGCAGCCGGTGCTTCTATAATCGGTCCTTACGGCCAAGGTGACGATGGTGCTGGTACTACTGATGAAGATTATATGTCCTGGAAAGATGCTGTCATGGAATTATTGAAAGATCAATTAAAATTAGATGAACATGAACAAACTTTTACCCCATCATTTAAATACGAACCTTTATCTTCCATTTCTGAAGAAACCTCCCTTGGTGAACCTTCTTTCCAATACTTGCCAGTCGGTAAATTGTCCTTCAACGATGCTCACATCCAATTAGGTCCTTACGATTTATCCCATCCATTTGTTGCTCCAATTGTTAAATCTAATGAATTATTCACTTCTGCTGACCGTAACTGTATTCACTCCGAAATTGATATCTCTGGCTCTAATATGAAATATTCTACTGGTGATCATTTAGGTATTTGGCCATCCAATGCTAATGAAAAAGTCGAACAATTTTTGTCTACTTTCGGCTTAGATTCAAACACTATCTTTGATTTGAAACCTTTAGATTCTACTGTTAAATTACCTTTCCCTGTCCCAACTACTATCGGTGCTGCTGTCAGAAACTATATGGAAATTACTGGTCCTGTCCCAAGAAACTTATTTGCTTCTTTAGTTCAATTTGCTCCAAATGATGAATTGAAGGAAAAATTAACTAGCTTGTCTCAAGATAAAGATTTGTTCGCAAAAGAAGTTACTGCTAAATACTTAAATTTGGCAGATGCTTTGTTGCAATTGTCTAATGGTGAAAAATGGTCTACTGTTCCATGGGAATTCTTGATTGAAGCTATCCCTCATTTAAATCCACGTTACTATTCCATCTCTTCTTCTGCGTTATCTGAAAAACAAGTTATCCATATCACTTCTGTTGTTGAAAATTCTGAAAATCCAACTGGTTCTGGTCCAAGAGTATTGGGTGTTGCTACCAACTTGTTAAGAAATATCGAATTAGTTGAAAACAAAGAAGATGAATCTACTTTACCTATCCATTATGATCTAACTGGTCCTCGTAAATTATTCTCTGGTTTCAAATTACCTGTCCATGTTCGTCGTTCCACTTTCAGATTACCAACCAACCCATCCACTCCTGTTTTGATGATTGGTCCAGGTACTGGTGTTGCTCCATTCCGTGGTTTTATTAGAGAACGTGTTGCCTATGTTCAAACTCAAGAAAACGTTAAACTAGGTAAACATTTATTATTCTACGGTTCTCGTGATACTCATGATTATTTGTATAAGGAAGAATGGCCAGAATATTCCAAGAAATTGGATGGTTCATTCGAAATGGTTGTTTGTCACTCCAGATTACCAAACGTAAAGAAGGTTTATGTTCAAGATAAGCTAAGAGAACGTGCTAGTGATGTTTATCAAATGATCAAGGATGGTGCCTTTATCTACGTTTGTGGTGATGCTGGTAGTATGGCTAAAGGTGTGAGTTCCGCTTTGGTTGACATTTTATCTAAAGAACAATCCATCTCTACTGAAGATGCTTGTGAAATGATAAAGATGTTAAAGACTTCCGGCAGATATCAAGAAGATATTTGGTAGTTAACTAGATGTTCATTACCAAAAAGCAATCCAATTTCATTTTAAAATATTATAAAGAAGTTTAAATTCAATGTACCATATATAGGAAAAGCCTCCAAAAGCAAAAATTTGAGGTTTAAGCATAAATAATTCTATAGATTATTAATTAGTTTTGATTATAAATAACATGAAACTGAAATTAATCTGAAATATTAATATAGGAATAATATTCGTATAGGAAATTTTTATAAATGTTCTATCTAAAAATATCTATCAATAACACACATATATATATAAAATTTATAGAAACAAAGACAAGTAAAATTTATAATTTTTGTGATCGTAAATCATAATGTTAATCTAAAAATCTAATCCTTGGATAATGGGTTTTTAATCTCAATGGTAATACCCTCTTTAGTATTTTTAGCCACGACAACTTCAGTTAAATCTGATACAACAAAATCAGCGCCGGCATCGAATAATACTTTCTTATCATACGATGATGTAATACCAATAGTTAAGGCACCCATGGCGTTACCAGCTTTGATACCTACTGGTGCATCTTCGAATACCACAGATCTAACAGATTTAGGGTCCATTCCCAAGATTTTAGTCAAATCAGTTTGAGCTTTATTGTAACCTTCTGGATCAGGTTTACCACGGCTAACGTCAAAAGCAGTAATAAAGACATCTGGTTTACCAACTTCTTTCAAAATAGTTGAGAACCAAGAAAATGCCAAATCAGCTGAACCAGATGTAACAATTGCCCATTTTCTTTCTGGGAGTTTTTCCTTTGTAGTGGTATTGATATCGAGTGAAAGCAAAAGATCCTTAGCACCTGGGATTAAAGTGACTAAATCCAAGTAGTTACGGGCAATTGAGATTTCCAATTCCTTGACAGCTTTATTATCAGTATTGTCTACATTTGGGAAAAATCTAGCCATCATTTCAGAGGTTCGACTACCATGAGAAACCTTGAATAATTCTTCTGGATCCACATTGTACTTAGAACAGAATTTCCTCCATACTGCTTCAGCGGCATATGTGGTACTAACAATAGTACCATCCAAATCAAACAAACATAGATCAACTTCAATACTTGGCATCGCTGGGAAGTTACTTGTCAAATATATAGATGGAACTTTTACTTGAAAGATAAAATAGTAATAACTGAACTACTACAAGCATTGGACTGAATCCTGACTAAGTTACATTCCTTAATTATAAGTATATATATATCTATATATCAGATCAAGGACAAAGAAGCTTCTAATGATATCCATGAACTTAGAAAGCTATCGTTAGTTTTCATATCTTATCAACAGGAACCACCCTGCATTCAATCAGTAACAATAGAATCTATAATAGTGTGGGTTCTTGAAATATTACTGGAATTCTCAGTAAAAGATAACTATTTAGCGTCGATCTCCAGATATCGTGGATTGCATCAAGTTCACAGCCTTCTTCAGCTGCCAGTAATCTACTGAATTCTTCTAAATAGGACTCTGAAAAAGAAAACACCATCACTACAACAAACAGCTTTTCTAGTTCGAATTCGAATTCGAACTAGAAAAAAGAATACGTCTTCTTCTCAACTATTCTAACACTGTTATAAAAACTAAAGGTCCGCTCATTGCTAACTGATGTTCAATACGGGAACCAGCAAGCCGAACTCATTATAAGTTCGAACATTATTTAAACCCTCAGATCTGGAACAAACAGGATGGGGTCATTCAGTTCATCTTATTTAATGTTCTTGTATTGGATAAGATGTTGTTCTTGGGTTAATGAAGTTCCTTAGCTTTGTCTATAATTTTCATTTCTTACGTGCTTTAATGATCGAGACCAAACGCAATATTTTTGATTTGATGTTATTCCATGAAGTTTGATATGGTATGATAATGAATGTGAAATTTATTGTCACTTTCTTAGGATTTGGCAGGGGTCCACTTTGAGGTGTCACTTAGCAACGGACTTTTGACACCAATCAATTACTTAACATTCCTTGTTAACTAAATATATATTTTCGTCATAGTTTGAATGTGATTTATTAACTTTTATAGTGTTATAAATTTTGAATCGAAGCATATAACTGAGTGACGCCCTGATTTAATCTAAGCTAGTAGTATAATCGTTTTTCAGATATTATTGGTCATTTTCATATTTTTTTCATATTGATCTCTTCTAATCTCAACTGTAACTGGTACATGGCGTAAACGATAAATAGTATATGTGTAAAAAAATCCTACTTCTTATCTGTTCTTGGATTATGCTACAAACTTATCTATATAATCATTAATTTATATGTATTCAAGGTCTATTCAAGTCTCACGAGCGTTTTCTGAACTTAGAATAGATGCATATTTATCTCTTTCCTTAGATTCTTCTTTAATTTTCTCTATGATTAAATCTGTGATTTGTTCTGTGATACCAAATGCTTTATGACAACATTGCATTAATGATAACGCATCCATGGGTAAACCACCAGCCTTAGATACTTGTACCACTTCTCTATTTTTGTTTAATGTTACGGTTAACACACCGTCTCTTAACAATTCCTCCTTTAGTGAGGCATCGATTATAGTAATTTCTGAATTTGATTCACCTTTAATATTTTCTTCAGTATCTTCAGGATTAAAAAATGAAAATGTTACACAGATTGGAATATGCAATATACCTAATGGAACCGGTTCTCTTTCGTCAACAGGATGGACTGTAACTTGTTCACCAAAAACTGAAATATCTGGTTTTCTAAAATGCATTAGTGCAGCCATTACCGCTATACAAGAAGCGTCTATAAATCCACCATCACAGTTCAAAAAATGCACATCTGCTCTAATTGCCCAACATTTACTACCTGCCACTATACACAAACCTTCGATATCCAAAGCACCTGATCTTCTGACAGCTTTTTCAATAATTCTTGCACATAAAACTTCATCTTCACCAGTGTTGTTACCATTTTCAAATTGTGGGCCTGCCATAGGTGAGGATTCTGTTGAAATGAAAAATAAACCTTCAAAAGGCCTATCTTCGTAAGGTTGAGCAATGGAACAACTAACTCTACATTGGACTTTAGTATTACCCATCGTAACAGTAGCATCACCAAATTCTTTACCAAAATCTATTTCAACATCACGAAATTGATCAAATTCACGTCCATCTAATCTTTGATTTTGCCTTAGTGCCTCTAAGAGAAACTTTTGTTCAGAGGTAGAAATCTCAATGTCTTTAGCCATACTTTATAAAAACAATATACACACTCTCAATACCTTGAACCACTATCTTGACCTCTAGCCAACAAAAAATGTATTATAGTTCTTATAAGAAGTCTTAAGCAATAGAAGTTATTTAACCTTCATGCATCTAAATATCTTGAGATGAGCTTACATCTAAAATTTCAATAATCGTACATAGTGCTTGAAATTTTTAAAGGTCCTAGAATCTAACCGTCTGGAAGTAATACTAGATCTAATTATGACAGTGACACTTCACAATAAAGGATATCCATGATAAATTACCTATACAATGATACATATGGTTATATTTATTTATAATAATTATCCCAATTCCATTATTATTTCTTCTTGAAAAATCCATCAATTGCACCTCTCCCTACTGCAACACGAGGCTTTTTAGGTACTATTGGTTTTTTAATTGTTTTATTTTTATCTTTTCCATCAGATGATGAATCATTATTCATTCCTACACTGATTGCAGCTTGCATCAATAGTTTTTTCTCTTCAATTGACAATTCATTACTCTCCAAATAATCGTTGAATTTTTTAACCTCTGTGTCGATACTAATTGTATTGTCCGTTCCTTTAAATTTAATTAACTCTAAATAAGCCTTCTTTGGTACTAGCGATATCAGAATATTTGTTGCTAGTACAATTTTCATAGAATTTTGGATATCCTCTGGAGCTGAGTTAGGTAGTAAGGGCGGGATACTTTTTGGTAAATTGGAAGCAATCTTAGATACTATCTTAGCTAGAAACTCTAATATTTTATTGTCATCGATCTTATAATATATATCTTCAGCTTCCTCCACAGTATTTGAAATTTTTTCTAATGCAATTTTTAAAACCTCTAGCGAAATATTTGCCCATTGAGAATCATTCGAATCTACTAATAGATCATGATAATCACGCAAAGTTAAAAATCTGTCATTCTTCCCTTGTTCTTTCCCAGATTGACTCGATACCTGATTGGAATATTCTTTTTCACTTTCTGTTATACTTTCAGAGTAATAAAACCCAATTAAATTATAGACAATATCGTATTTCAAAGCAAATTTAAAACTACCATTTTCACGAAGATAAGCCTCAGACCTGTCTTGCTCGTTGGTGAGAATTACAGATTTCAAAGTCTCATTGTCTCTTGTGTAATGATAAACATCATTAGCCATATCATCATTATTGTTAATTTTCGAACCCTTACTAAAACTATGGTTCTTAATTTGATAAACTAAATTATTGGATACTTGAAACAATTCAACACGTCCCTTTGATGAATTATTCGAAGGAGAAGGGAGAGTAAACACTTTTAACTGTTCTCCCAATGCCACCACTTCTGAAGGAATAATAATTATATCTTTATTCTCACCATGGACTGTCATTATCTTAGTATTTTTTCTTAGATGTATCCTAATATTCTGCTTTCTAGCCCAAACAACAGTTAAATATGCCTCAACCAGATACCAATAGTTCCTGTTAGCCACCAACTTAAACACATTAAGCCAATTAAACCCACATTCCTTTAAGTGTGTGTTTCGACACCAAATTGTTCTAATTTTTCAATTGATCTGAAAAAGAAACTTTGAAACTTTTGGTGATGCGGTGATGAGCCTTCGAAGCGTCTTTAAAAATTGGCATACTTTAAAGGATTTCGATATAAAGAAGGTACTAATTCTGATATAAGTTTGGTTAAGGTTACTTATACAATTACTGAATGAGAGCGGTATTGATTATCTATCAATTCATTTTATATGTGTGTTCTTTTTATTCTTATTGGTGTGGTACTTGGATAGAGATGGAGACATAGACTGTGAGAAGAGGTCAAGCAATAGAGATCTATACGAAACCTTAATGAAAAATTTGATAAATGCTTAGTAATTTTAAAATTCTGTATTTCTTCGTAAAGGATAGATAGTTTAAGGGAAACAATCCTTGGGATTTCAGTGACTAGTAAGATGTTTACTGAATTGAGTATATTCATCATGTAATTATTGAATGTTGTAGTTTTATCATATTTAGTATTTTTTTTTTATAACCTTGTAACGTTTTTTTTTCTTTTTTGCTTTTTAGCTTCTTGATTATAGTTTTAGTAATACTATTCGTATACAAGATGTTGTTGAAATTGAATCCCATTATTGTTGTATATAAAGCTGGGGATTAAGAATCTGACAGGTTTATCTTAGTGTGCATTGATCGTCAACAGGAATCGTACTCAATTGCCAGGATGGGGATGACTTTTTGGATTGAGTGTCTAGTGACACTGGTTGTTGTATTTATAGCTACTGACTGGTTTTTAACTTCAGTAGTCTTTTCATTTAAAAGGGATTTGAATCCAATTGCTTTAAAAGAACAGGCTAGTATATCAACTGTTAGGAAAGAAAAAGAAACTGCACATTATAGAAATTATTTGGTTCCTCATGGGTTCCCGTTGACCACAGGTTTGAATCTAGCTATTGGTTATAGACATAGAAATGGTAACTTTGCTGATATTTGGTCAACTGCTATGGAATTGGCTAAGAATAATTCAATCAAGTTTACAAACTATGATAGGGAGTACTCTTTACCTCAGATTAATGGTATGGCAAATCAGATATTGAATATGCATCTTGCAAACAATTATAAACAAATTGGTATTACTGTTTCAACTTCAACATTAGAAGGGTTTACCATCAGTATTGCAGCTATGATTGGATCAATAAAAAATGACTTGATTCCTCACTTCCTATCTTCAGTACCACGTCAAAAGATCGAAAACGTTGATGTGTTAGTTGTAAATAGTTGGAATTCTTTAAAATTATTAAATGGCAGTGAATCATGGTATAAATTGATCATAGTATGCGAAAGTTCAGCAGAACGTCCAGCAAATCTAAATATTGATTTTGACGTAAAATCATGGGATGAATTGATAGATTCATATGTAGAACAACCTGAATTTAAATACACTTCCCCAGAGGATAAATCAGACGATATGAAACCTTTTCTGCAAGTTACCTCCCCATGGAATGATACAACAAGTTTCACACAAATGTCCATTGTCAGTAGTGTTGCTGCATTTGTAAGAAGTTTCCCAATGGATAAAGAAATTCAACCTAAAGATACATTGATGGTTGTAGGCTCTTTAGCCGATGCCTCATCAAGTGTACAGATTTGGAACAAGATGTTAGGAACGTTACTTTTTGGAGCTTCACTTTCATTCACAACAAAATACTCTGTTACAATGGACCAACCAACGATGTTAGTAATATCAAAAGAAGATACCCTTGAAATATTGAAGAAGACGATTAAGTATGCTGATAACAGCTTCTTTTCTAGAATTAAACTATCTTGGTCTACGACATTATTAAGTGAAGGCATCCTAACAAACTTCGCCATGTTAAATACATCAGAATCCTCTGCCACACTTAAAAACCTAAGAGTAGTTTACGTCGTATCCTCAATTGTCAATGCAGAGGTAGCTTCATCTTTAACTGGTAAAATTCAAAAACGTAAGTCAATGTCCTCAACATCGATTACAACAAGAGATATGAATATCCTTAGAGCACAACTTGGATGTAGAGCAGTTTCTGAATTATATTGTCCTTTCCTTGTAATGGGTCCATTATCTGAAACTCATTACTTTGATTACAGAGTCTTACCGCCATCTGTCGATACAACCGTAAGCATGAATGGTACATTAGCAACAACTTTGGAAGGAAAATTAGTCGACACCGAAGAAAACCCAGATTTAGATGTTAAATCGAGACAAGGTATGATTTGTATTCGTGGGTTCTCTATTGGTAGACCAGTTGAACAAGAAAGGTTAGATAAAGCTTTAAAATTATGTGAAAACTATGGAGGTGGTGAAGGATGGATGCCACTTATTGGAGTATACGGATTGTGGGGTAATGATGGTTGTCTTTATGTCTATAAATGATATTTATTGTCTATTATATATGTTTATTATGTATTATAATTCTAGAGATAATACAGTATTTTTATTCATAACTCAATTTTCCGTCTACGCATGACCAGAAATCTTTAATGTATTTCTTCTGTTCACCAGAAGTGCTTTCAAAGCAGCCTCTAACAGCTAAATATGTCCTATTATTAACTCCTATTTGCCATTCTTGGTCATTTGCACCGACAATTGTGCCACCAGTCTCATTAAGAATACACCAACCTGCACAAACATCCCAACAATAACACCCACCATCCCAGTAACTATCTAACTTACCTAAAGCAATATAAGCTAGCGTCATTGCTGAGGAACCTAAGTTTCTAAACCCATGAATAAATCCCTTTTCACAGTCAAGCAAGTTTTGATAAGTCTTCATTTTACAAATGAAATTACTTCCTTCTCTTGCAGAACCTGGTTGTAGTGCTACAATAGATTTATTTAACACCAATGGACCCATTGATTTCAATTTATCTTTATAATCGAATTCTTTCCCATTCACTCTAACACCATTGGATTTTGATGCAGATACTAATAAATTGATATGAGGATTAAAAATGACACCAACGACCGGAATTTTATCAACAGTTAACCCCATAGAAGTACAACTGAAAGGGAAATCGTGAACAAAATTTGTAGTACCATCAATTGGATCAATAATAAAGGTTGGTTCATCTGTAATTTTAGTAACATTTTTAATGTAACTTTCTTCACCAATAAATTTAAAATCTGGATATTCCTTTTTAACAGTTTCCCAAATAATTGCCTCTACTTGTTTATCAATGGCAGTAACAATATCAACTCTTCTTGACCCAGTTTTTAAATCATATTCTTGTAATGTACCTGATTTTGATTTAATTATGGGACCAACTTTTTCAAGTGCCAATTTGCATAAAAACTCTTCGATCTCTTTATAATTAATTGGCATTATATATTCTATAAAACTTATTTTACACTCTGACAGTGTATGACCTTCTTATACTGGACATTGTTCGAAGTAATTGGAATTACAGAAACCTTCATAACAGTTAAGAGTTTTAGTTCCTATAAAATTTCAATGAAATATTTTAAATATCGCATCGCTTCTTAACTCCATTGTGTATGAAGATGACGAAATTAGCCATAATTATCCGATATAGAGTCAAGGACGCAACGAGATGAGGCACGATGAGATGAGGCACGATGAGATGAGGTGAACATAAAATTCAATATTGAGTAGATTTGGCCTTGACTGATATCTTGTAATTGTAAGTAATATAAGGATGATTGTCATAGATTGAAAATGTTTGTAATGATCCTGTTTTGACACCTGTGAGGATAAATTATTAAAGATAAAGAAAAAAAATAAGAAAAGCTAGGAAACCTAACACATCAATATATGACGTCAAAATAGTCTATTAGTACTAATGAAACCTTCTGATTGTAAGAAATCTTAAACTATGTATCTGTATTGCTTGGTTGCTCTATAAAAATCTGATATTTTATAATTTAAAATTCTATGAAACTAAATCTTTAATGTCACTCGATTCTCATTGTCAAATATCATACCTTGGACTATGAATTGGATCGTTTGTATTGACATATTTTTTAAAATTAATCTGGGCTGGTTTCTTCAAATATTGGTACTTGTGACTTCTATGTCTTCAGTTCTTAGAGTTATATTATTTGAAAACTTTGTTAATTACCTTTAAATCAATTTTAACTGCAACATGATAACTGACATTATTGAAAAATGGTTCAATTTGAAGGTAATAATGAATTGCCAGTACATTATCCTATTAAATTCCTCCATAAATTACAATTGCGGCTTCTTTTTAACATTGAATAGTAGATTTTAAAAAAACAGGGAAAATATAACGCTAATAATTTTAGATTCCTTAGAAATAAGATTGAATTCGCTTTTATCAAATTAATATCCATATAGTTATAGAAATTATCACAGGCTATAGTTACAAGAATGTTATTACTTTAAATTAAACTCTATCTATAAACTAACTAATGGTTTATTAAACATAATCTTTCTGTTTAAAATTACGAAGTTCGTTGAAAACCGTCAAAATTTTGAACTCAGGTCAATCAATTTAATCTTATCAGTATATTCCTTTCAATTTTACTTCAAAATATTTAAAGATTAGATACGCAATCAAGAGATTTTATATCGAATTAACAGCATTCCAAATTCTCGAAACTACAGTACGCTAATAATATTTGAGAAACTTTATTAAATTAAGAAATTTACACATCAAATTAACTTAAAGATTAAACAACGTCCTTATATCTACGATTGCATATACTATTTATAACTGCAGTATACACCTCTATTAGATCAACATCAGATCTCATCTCATATATAAGTTTTACTTTTATCAACATAAGTTCTGTTGCTATGGTTAACATTTTTCGTCGTTTCTTATAAAATATTTATGCGATGAAGTGGCTTACTGCAGGAATAAACGATGAGATGCGATAGATCTTTTAATTCTAATTAATAATCAATAGTACTTTTGACAGTTGATCCTGGTTATGTATGAAGATGTCGATGCAGCCATAATTGCAGACATATATATATATATATATTTGTTGTAAAGATAATAATTGGAAAAAGTTTAGTCCTTTGTTAGTAGAGACCATCTTGAGAAACTTGACTTGAAAAATTTCAATGTCAGAGGATAGCTTCAAGATTAATAAGACATTATCGTCTGATAAACTAGATGAAGAGGTCGAGTTTACTGTTCAAAAGAGCCCGTCCACTGATATATGTTATGAAGTAACATTTTCCATGGATGGGGATCCAGATCCAGAGGATATTGCGAGAAGGCTATCAATTGTAAGAAAATATTATATATCTATATTGATTACAATCACCTCTATGGTTATCACTATTATTTCATCATGCTGGTCCCTTATTTCACCTCAGATTATGGAACATTTCCACATCTCTCATGAAGTTAGTGTGTTGGGGATCTCATTTTATATCTTTGGTCTTGGTGTAGGTCCATTAATTTTATCACCATTAAGTGAACTTTATGGTCGTAGGTTAACCTTCATTTTCTCCCTGGCTCTAAGTATAATATGGCAATGTCTAACTACATGGTCAAAAACCATTGAAGGTGTTATGTTTGGTAGATTTCTTTCTGGTTTCTTTGGTTCTTCATTCTTGAGTGTAGCAGGTGGGTCCATATCAGATATATTTGAAAAGAAAGATATTGGTATTCCAATGGCCATATTCACCACATCACCCATGCTAGGTCCTTCAATTGGTCCAATTATTGGTGGTGCTCTACATAAGGATAGTTATAAATGGACATTCATCGTTTTATTAATTGCATCTGGTGTCTGTTTAGTTTTGATTACACTCACTGTACCAGAAACTTACAAACCAATGTTACTTATTCGAAAGGCAAAAAGGTTAAGACAAGAAACTGGAGATGATAAATACTATGCCCCATTGGAGATTACAAGGAAGGAGACAAAATTAACTTCAGCTATCATTTTATCAGCAAGAAGACCATTCGGACTACTGGTGAGAGACCCAATGATGGCAGTATTAACCTTTTATACAGGTTTAGTTCTTGCCATTGTATACTTATTCTTCGTTGCATTCCCATATATTTTTGAAACTGTTTTCAAATTCACAGTTATGGAAGTTGCCTGTGCATACATTGGTATGTTGTCAGGTATCTTATTAGTTTCACCAACAGCATTAATCATTCAAAAACGGTATGCTAAAAAGGTTGAAAATAACAATGGTGTAAGCACACCTGAAATGAGATTTGAAGCATTATTTTATGGTGCATTTTTAACACCAATTGGTCTGATGATTTTTGCATGGACCTGTTATCCACAAGTTCATTGGATAGGACCAGTCATAGGTAGTGGGATATTTGGATCTGGTGTATTTTTTGTATTTACAGGTGTCTTTAGTTATACAGTTGATGCATATAGGAAATATGCAGCATCTGCAATGGCTTGCAACTCGTTTGTAAGAAGTACAATGAGTGCGGTTTTCCCATTGTTTGGATTACAAATGTATAAAGGAATGGGAATAAATTGGGCAGGTTTCTTTATCGCCATGTTAGCAACAATTATGGTTCCTGTACCTTTCTTATTCACTAAATATGGGCCGACTCTAAGATCTAAATCACCGTATGCATGGGCAGATTAAAAGCCATTCCATTACCATCAAAACCAAGCATATATCACATATTTATAGAACTAATAAACTAATAAACTGATAATAATAATAATGATTAATACGTATTGTTATATAAAAAGAAATAAATCATCTTGTAAAGTAGTATTGAATGATTAGACTCAACTCTAGGTGAAATCATCCACTCGGTAATGAAAACATCAAAACGTCATCTGGTATTGATGACATCACAAACTTGTTCTTGCAGTGTTGTCATTCTAGATGAAAAAAATTGTCGGTGTTTAAATTCGAAGATGTTGTTGCTGTATCTGGGACAACGAGTGGTTGAGCCTCAAGAAGTGGTTGTTGTAGAATCCAAGAAACAACAGTACCAATACAGGTTCTTGTTTGGCTGTTCTTTTAGAAAACCACTCACTAATCTTATGAGAACAGTGCTTATTGCTACCAAAGTTGTAGTTGTAGTTGAAGTTGTTACATTTTTCGAAGCAATTTGATATTCGATTCGATGAGTTTTGCAATGGAAAAAGTTTCACTCATATATAAAGAACAGTAAAGCTACAAGTATTGGCTTAGTCTTATCTTGATGTTATAAATTCAATACGGTACAAGTAGATAGAAGGAAACTAGACGAATCTTTAGATAAAAATGAGTAGTGCAACAGTTCCAAGATTATTATTCTTGCATGGTTTCTTGCAAAATGGTAAGGTATTCTCTGAAAAGTCATCTGGTATTAGAAAACTATTGAAGAAGGCTAATGTTCAATGTGATTATATTGATGCACCAGTCGTCTTAGAGAAAACAGACTTGCCTTTTGAAATGGATGATGACAAATGGCAAGCTACTTTAGATGCAGAAGTTAACAAAGCTTGGTTTTATCACAGTGAAATTTCAAAAGAATTAGATTTGAGTAACGCTATTAAAACAGTTTCTGATTATATCAAGGAAAATGGTCCATACGATGGTATTGTTGGGTTTTCTCAAGGTGCTGCATTATCAACTATTTTGACTAATAAAATTCAGCAATTGGTTCCATCTCATCCTGAGTTTAAAGTCAGTGTTGTAATTTCTGGCTATTCATTTACTGAACCAGATCCAGAAAATGAAGGACAATTAAGAATCACTGAAAAGTTTGATGATGCATTCACACCAAATCCTAACAGCAAGACTAAAATGGTATTCATATATGGTGCAAGTGATCTAGCTGTACCATCAGAAAGGTCAAAATATCTATACAATATTTATGAAAATGCATTGCCAAAGGATGAAGAATTGTTAAAAGCTTTTGAACATCCAGGTGGCCACATGGTACCAAACAAAAAGGACATTATTAGACCAGTTGTTGAACAAATCACTGGAGCTCTAACTGTTGCATCTCAATAAAAGAAATAAATTATATAACATGTTTCCCTTCTCACCACCCAATTGATTTTATAAATTATAGAGATATATAGATATGTATAAATATATAAAAAGTTGGTATCCATTCCACATGTAGCAACCTGTGTTATTTTATTTTACTTTATTTTAGCTTGATCAATTGAAAACATACATTGCAGATGTATACATAATCTGGCATTGCATTATCAAACGTGTAAAAACTGCAAGCAATAATGGCGCAACATATTCATAAGACTATCCAATTTCAATCGTCCAAAAACTGTTCAAACTTAAATTGGCATATAAATATGCCAATCATAAACATGATTCCATCATCATCATTCTCATTGAACCATTGACAAACAAACTATTTAAATATTAAAACATCATCATCATCATCATCTCATCTGTCACCGAATAATTTTTTATTTTTATTTTTTCACTTAAAATTTCGATTTGACATTGTCATAAAAGTCGATTTACTACTATAAAAAAAATACACATATCGAATTGTATTTTAAATACAATAATGATAATTGTTGTTTATAAAGTTAAAAAAAGGTTAAAAGAAAGTTGTTTGTTAAACTAGAGATATTCGTCGTTGATTGATATTTAAATAGTGGTACGGTTCCTATATTTGTTTGCTTGATTGAATTTGTGTGAAAGTTTTTTTTTAGTTTAGGAATTTGGGGTTGCATTGTTATTAAAACATTTTTAGTTGATTAGAAATCAAAAATAAAAATAAAAATAAAATAAAACATTGATTACATATAATATAATATTTTTGCATGGTGTCTACTGTTTATGAACCTCTTGCTACTGGTGAGAGCTCAGAGAGACCTGGTTTGGAGGGCAGTCTTGGTGGTGGGACTGGGTATATTAGTAATGGTTTAGAAGAAGAGTCAAAAAGTTCAAGAATTATTAGGCTGGTTAAAAAATATGGACAATTTATTGGTCCTGGTTTAATGGTGTCTGTTTCTTATATGGATCCTGGTAATTACAGTACTGCTGTTGCAGCTGGTTCTGCTCATAAGTATAAATTATTATTTTCTGTTTTTGTCTCTAATATATTAGCTACATTTTGGCAATGTCTATGTGCCAAGTTAGGTGCAGTGACAGGTTTGGATTTAGCTCAAAATTGTAAGAGACATTTACCATACAAGGTCAATATCACATTGTACATTTTAGCGGAGATTGCTATCATAGCCACCGATCTAGCTGAAGTCGTTGGTACGGCAATTGCATTAAACATTCTATTTGGAATACCATTAACATTAGGTGTCATCTTAACAGTTGTGGATGTTTTGATCGTATTGATTGCATATCGTCCAAATGGTTCTTTGAATTTAATCAGATGGTTTGAAGCGTTTGTGGCTGTATTGGTTGTTATGACTGTCATTTGTTTTGGTATTGAATTATTTTATGTAGATTTGGGTCCAGCAAAGGATATCTTTAAAGGCTTTCTACCAAGTAGAGCGGCATTTGAAGGTGATGGATTATATTTAAGTTTGGCTATTTTAGGTGCTACAGTGATGCCACATTCGTTATATTTAGGGTCTGGTGTTGTTCAGCCAAGATTAAGAGATTATGATATCAAGAAAGGGAATTACATGCCTGATGAGACAGATATTGAAAATAATCACGATGACTATAAACCTTCGTTAGAGGCTATTGATGATACTATGCATTTTACTATTGCTGAATTACTAGTATCGTTATTTACCGTAGCGTTGTTTGTTAATTGTTCGATTTTAATTGTATCTGGTGCAACATTGTATGGTACATCACAGGACGCCGATGAAGCCGATTTATTTTCCATTTATAATCTGCTTTGTACCACATTGTCTAAATCTGCAGGTACCATATTTGTATTGGCATTGTTATTCTCTGGGCAAAGTGCTGGTATTGTATGTACGCTAAGTGGGCAAATGGTTAGTGAAGGTTTTCTGAATTGGAATATTCCACCAGCATTAAGAAGATCAGCAACTAGAGCCGTTGCGATCACTCCATGTATCATATTAGTACTAGTAGCAGGGCGTAATGGGTTATCGGGGGCATTGAATGCTTCACAAGTATTGCTATCGTTATTGTTACCATTTGTATCAGCCCCATTACTATATTTTACATCACAAAGTAAGTTCATGAGCGTTGAAGTTAGTGATCGACCAGAACGTACAAAGCATAGTTTTTCTTTGAGAAGAAGTAATGCTAAAAACAAGAATGAGTACCCTAAGGGCGGTACAGGCATGAGCATGGATACTGAATTGCAAGAAATGAATCCTGATGGGCATACAACAGAGGAGGACAGTACAATTGAATACAGAGATATGTCCAATTCATGGTTTACAACTATATGTGCGGTTGTTCTTTGGACAATAGTTACAGGATTAAACTTTTACATGTTGATAAGTTTTGCCAGCGGTAAAGCCGTTCATCTGTAAGCAATTGTCATAGACAGACGAGCAAACAAGCAAACAAGCAAACAAGTATATACATATAAATAAAACACAAGTGTAGTTAATAACAGTAATAATAATAATGATGTACTTACTTTAAGAAGAAACAGCAATTTCTGTATGTAAGCTTTTTTTACCGTTGGTATCACGTGATACTAATGCTATTCTTCATCATTGTAAACGACCCAATCACAAGACTTCTCCCACACACACACACCCAGTGCTAGCGCCAACATACCCAACTCCATAACCCGCAATTCTTACACCAACAACATCACCCCACACGACAAGACAAGACACTCCTACCACCACTTCTGACCTTAAAACCCGAAACCCCCGTCAAAATCTCAAATTTCAAAAATCGTCAAACCAATTAGCAAATAACTATCGAGCTAATAGAGCCTTTGAAAGAAGCTGAGCTGATGTAGTTGTCAAATGTCAATTGTCAATTATCAACTGAACAAATTGCAACCTTCTCTATCTCTCTCTCTCGCTGTTTAAAGTTACAATAGTTTTTGAGCATAATTGATAGTTGGTTAATATAAAAATAAATTGGAATATAGTATATTTTATTATATTATATTGCGTTACGTTCAAGAACTATACAGTTTAATTAGAGTTAATACTTAAAAGAAGTTTCTGAATTAATATTTTTTTTTTTCGAAATTTTTAATTGTTCTATATTTCTTTTCATTGTTGTAATAATAGTAGATCAGTACACTCTCATTGATTTTAGATATATTTCATTTTTTAAAAAAAAAAAGATTCATCTCTAGCTCTACACAAAATATGTTATCAAGAACTTTATTCAGATTACCAGTTGCTTCAAGAAGTTTCATCACCGTTGCTAAGCCAACTTTTGCTCTAAGACAACAAAACTGGAGCAAGTTTTCAAATGTACAACAGTTGAGAAAATATTCTTCTGAACATGATGAAGAAACTTTCGAAGAATTCACAGTCAGATTCGAAAAGGAGTTCGATGAAGCTTATGACTTGTTCGAAGTTCAAAGAGTTTTAAACAACTGTTTCTCTTATGATTTGGTCCCTGCCCCTGCTGTCATCGAAAAGGCTGTTAGAGCTGCAAGAAGAGTCAACGACTTGCCAACTGCTATCAGAGTATTCGAAGCTTTGAAATACAAGGTAGAAAATGAAGACCAATACAAAGCTTACTTGGATGAATTGAAAGACGTTAGAGAAGAATTAGGTGTTCCTTTGAAGGAAGTTTTGTTCAAGGAAAACTAAAGACAAAACTAGAAAAAAAATTTTAATTGGACTTGTTTTTAAGGGATCTGGATTGACCATGTTTAAATCGTTGGTTATTCCTGTGTTGTGTTTTTTTTTTCATTTCCCATAAGAACTAATGTTTCAGACCATCTAACATTTTTTTTTCCCTCATACTTTGATGTCATTGTATTAATGCAATTAGTCAGGTAATACTTTAACAAAGGGCGTATATATAGATATATATATATATTTTTATTGGGCTACCCACCCCACTCACAATTACAGTATTCTTATATTCTTTATAATTTTATTTATCTATTCTTAAAGATCACTTTTATATTTAATGAACAATTGTCTATTAACACATTATTAATTAGTATTGCAATTACTACTGTTTTTTTACATAGCTATCCATCTCTATATGAAGGCAGGATTCAAGAAAAATGGTTTATCTATCAATCTGTTGGATATATCCTTCACAACTTAAAAAGACTAAATGTGTATATATGTATATCAATCATATCTATAGTACAAAAACATGAGGAGGGGTGGGAATGCGATGAGGTATGCTGTTATTCTATTCATCATCACTGTCAACTAAAGTACCACGACCACGCTTAACAGAACCAATTCTTTCTTCATCAGATTCCAACTCTTCTTCTTCAGAATCAATTGCCCTGCTGGCTCTAGGTTCAGCATCACTGTCACTTTCATAATCACTACTGGACCCACTCTCATCATCATCTCTTTCACTTTCACTACCACGGCCTGCATTAACTTCCTCTACTGCATCAAACCAATCACTATAGACATCGACAGGCTGTGACAAGGCATTAATACGGGTTTGGAATGTCTGACCACAGATCTTACACGAAAGTGACCCTATACTATTCTTCTTATCTATAGTACATGAAACTGATTTATCATGATTACAAAATAAACAATTAAATTTAGTATCTAATTTTTGGACGACCCTCTTAACTGGACCTCTAGAAGATTTCTTTCTTTTACCCATGTTAGAAACAACCTTCACTTAAAATGCAATTGCCGTCACTGGTATTAAGCTTGCCAGTGAATTAAATGATCAAGTGACTGGTTAACTGTTTTCCTTCCTGATTGAATACCCCCATCTTATCTTTTAAATCTTGCTTATTTCTACTAATTAAAGCTTCAATTTATAATTAGTTGCCAATTATAAAATGTGTGTGTGTGTGTGTGTGCCTTTTTGGAAAAGGAATAAAAAACCTAGAGGTCAGGGTAACACATGCTTACTATATCACGTAATGTTAATGACACGTGATTATAAGGTCATGTGATTATAAGGTCACATGACCTTATGTTCTTAGAAGAAGAAGGAAAAAAAGAAATGGATGTATGCCAGAGAGAGACAAAGACAAAGAAATACCATGTATATATGTATATATCTCTTTTCACGACGGGTATGAAAATTTTTTTGACCAGACAACTTTCGAAACTCGATCGAACTAACGACAAAGCTCATCTCATCTCATCTCATCTCATCTCATCTCATGTATAAGAAACTAAATGGATCATTAGCTGAATTGTATTATATAGAGTTCTTCTGTCTTAAAGAAATTGTTTAGAGTTTAAGAGAGTGGGTTCGTTGCGCTTTTGTAGATAGTATCTTTTAATAATATATAGAAGATAATATACTATTAAAAAGAAAACTTATAAATTATCCATCAAGCAAAATAACTATGGCTAGAACTCCATCGAAGAAAAAGAACAACGGTTCTCGTAATTCCACTCCTGTTAAGGATAATAAGAAGAAGGCTCCTGTTCAAGAAAAAAGTTCTCTGATTCCAAGAGAAAGAATTACTAGAGGTATTGAAGAATTGACAAAATTCATTGCACAAAAGAAGAATGATGATGATGATGGAAATAAGAATCAATTGTTAGATGATGACGAAGAATTGAATAACTTATTGCAATTAATTGTAGTAAACAATAAATCATTCACTGGTACTTCCAAAGATTTTAAATTGAAAATGATTAATGTTAAGCATTCTTTGTATAAAATATGGAAAAATGAAAGTGTTACCTCTGTAAAAGATTTTAAAATTTTATTGATTTTAAAAGATTCAGATATTGCCAAGATTTCAGAAGATGATCTATATGATGAATTAAACGAATCTGGCATTTCAATCGATCAAATTATCTGTGGTAAAGATTTGAAAACTACTTATAAATCATTCGAAGCTAGAAGATCTTTCATCAACGACTTTTCATTGATATTATCTGATGATAGTATAATAACTACTTTACCAAAACTATTGGGTGGTAAAGCTTTTGAAAAAATAGAAACTACCCCAGTTTCTATAAGGACTCAATCCAACAAAACTTTCTCTAAAACAACTTTGATTAATAGTATTAAAAAAGTTTACTTGAATCAAATTCCAATCAAATTACCAAGAGGTACTACTTTGAACGTCCATCTAGGTAAATTGGACTGGTTCGAACCAGTTGAACTTGTGGATAACATCGAAGCCATCTCAGAAGCTTTAATTAAAAACTACAGCATTAGATCTATCTTCATTAAATCAAACAATTCTCCAGTTTTACCATTATACTTTAACCAAGATGTATTAGAAGAATTGACCACAGAAACTGAAAAGAAAGACAAAGAGCAAGTTACCGTTGAAATTGACGGTGTTCAAGTTAATTTATCTACTTTTGATAGAGCATTGATGGAAATCTCCAATCCAAATGAATACTCATCTCTTTTCGCAAAGCAAATTAACGCTGCAAAGAGACAATTGGAAGAAGATAAAGATGAAGCTTCTTCTAAGCCAATCAAAAAATCTAAAAAATGATTCCACCAATAATTATTAGTCATTAAACATAAATATATATTTATGTATATATAACATTTGTAAATTAATATTATACAATTAGAACTAATCTAACTATTAAATCATAAAAGTATATTACAGCTTATGATAGTAATTTAATTTAATTATTTTCTTAATTCTATAAAATATTGTATCTTCCTAATTATATAAATAAATCAAGGATATATTTTGAGTCCAAAAACCAAAGAAAATGAATCATTATTAGTCTAACCAGTGACAATTGCTGAATATATCCATTCTTAAAATAATATATGATTATTTTGGGTATAAATTATAATAAAATGCTTATGATGAAATATAATCTTGATTAATTCATAAAAGTGCTGAATTATAATGCGTTGGAGACATGTTCGGAATTTCTTAATTTTGCAGATTGGATTAAACTTTCCCAATTTACATGGAAAACATAGTACCCTTGTAAAATACTCATTGTGATCAATGCAAATGTAATACCAATCCATAGACCTGAAAGTCCAAAACTTGTATGAAATGCTAAAATATATGATAATGGAATGCCAATACAATAAAAGGCAAACAAGTTGATATAGCCTCCTATTTTTTGTCTTCCTTGACCTCTTAAACAGCCTGCTGTTGAAGCATTAAAAGCGTCGAATAGTTCCATAAATGCTAAAAATGGAAGTGTTGCAATCACTAGTTCTACAACTTCTGGTTCGGTTGAAAATGCTCGAGCTATTTGAGTTTTGAAATTGATAATTATTAACATGTTGAATGATGAACAAGCAAATGATAATAATAATGAAACCCTACAGGTAATGATACAAGCTTTGTATAACGATGCTCCAATGAAATTAGCAACTCTTGTACTTGTAGACACCGAAATTGAAAAAGGCATTTGGTATGCCAATGCAGCAATTGTAGATACAATGGATTGTGCTCCCAAGGCTTCTTCACCTAGATGTGACGCAAAAATAGTTAATATTTCAAATCCTAAAAATTCTGCTTCAACCATAATAATTCCTGGCAGAGCCAATTCAAACATATGTTTCCAGTTCTTGAATATTTGATCACTTTTAATCAAACCGCTCCAACACTTCATTGGGTTTATGTCATGATTTGTTAAAAGCGTATATAAGATTAATCCCAGAGTCATTAACCAATAATTTATTGCCACCGCAACAGGTGCACCTAAATACCCAATACCAACAGTAGGACTCCATACCAAAACATAGTTCATGACTGCATTTAAAGGGGCACAGACAAAAAGAACTACTGTAGAAGCGTGGAAAATACCTTGGCATTGCAAAAATCTCTTACCACACTCGAACATGATAAAACCAGGAACACCAAAAGACGCAACCTTTAAATATTTAGCAGCCAAAATACATAATTCTTTCTCAGGAATAATTAAACACAATAAACTTTCTGCCCAGAACCACCAAATATACATTAGCGGTAAAAAAGCAAATATCGCAATTATAGCACAACGTTGGACCAAAATACCGACTAAATGATGATTCTTTGCACCATATGCCTGGGAACAAAGTGTATCGAGGCAAGTGCAAAGACCTTGGATAGCTGCAAAACCTGTAATATTAGCAGTCATCGAACCTAAAGTTACACCACCTAATTCTCTTGTACCCAAATGCGACACTGAAAAAATAGATGCAATTGATAGAGAATATTGTAAAATGAATGTAAAAACTAAAGGAGTAGCATTGTTTGCTAGAGTTTGTAATTCTCTTTTGTAAGATGTGGATATTTCTTTTCCTGATTGTATAGCCAAATTCCAGGTATTTGCTACTTCTCTCTCTTCATTTTCAATCGATGCATAAGTACTTGCAGCTCCTGGAGGATAATGTTCAGCTTCTGATGGAATCAATTTATTATCCACTAGAAGATCACGTTCCTGATCTATCAAACTAATACAAGCTGAAGATCTGTTTCTTCTTTTAGTTTCTTCTATCGTATCAGAACTTGAACCTATCGTTTGAGGAGCGTGATCATTGTTTCTTGATAATAAAGGTTGACCTTCATTAGATTCTGGAATATTTGAAATCATGTCATTAAAATTAGTATCTGCTGGATAGTTTACAGCATCAAATATATCTTCTGGTTCGTTTTGTTGAGTACTATCATTTTCCTCCTCATAACGTTCATTTAGAGTATCATCTCCATTATTTAAAGGTATATAATCTGCCGGTATAAATAATCCAGTTTTACCAACACTTGTAGAGTATACGAACGATGCGGTCCTCGCTACATCCGTGTTAGTAAATTCCTTAGACATTATAAAAATGAGTAGAAGAAATTTTTACAGTTGCTTAAAATTTCTCTTACTCCTAGATAATGTATGATAAAACTTTCAGAAATCAAAATTACCAAATTAATAATTCCCCTATGGTATTATTCGTAATAAATTTTGAAATTGAGCTATCTTATATTCAATAATGCAGCTTAAGGAAATTGAGGTAGACTCAAGAAAGAATTAAATTGAGGAAAATAAGGTTAATGAAAGTTGAGCACTGTTTGTAGTGGAAAAAAATAAAATTAAAACTTTTATCACTTCGCTATTAAATAGAGATTTTTTTAATGAGTACCTTAGCTTGTGAAATTAAGCTGGATTGATTTTAGTAAAAACTGAATACAATAAATAACGGAGATTAGTTAACTCAAAAAATAAAAATTCCACTGAAATTTCAATAATATATATAGAAATACTGTTTCCTTACTTTCGTTCTCAAAATAGAATAACTGTTTCGCAACTAAAACTGCAATATACCTTAAAAGGAAACCAAACTATCTCTTAATAGTACTTGATATTTTCTCTTAAATAGATGAATTTTTATTTCATCTAGTTTTTCTCCCCTTTTGCTATCCGATGAGTAACTTGAAAATTAAAACTATGTTGATAATTGTAACGGAACAATAATTGTAGATAAGGAAGATGATCTAGATAGCAGCTTAACCTATTACTACTAGCCATAACTATGATTATCATAATATTGAGAAAGCGCAGGAAAAAAATAAAACTACACTTCATTAGAGTAATCTCTTCTCACTCGAAGAGCAACTGACTGTATTAAATGAATCACTCGGGAAAAACTTCGTATAAATCGATACCATTTCCTTTGCATTTCCTATAACTTCGTTAGATAATAAAATTACCTAAAATAGACATATATTATACCTTATTTGGTTTGTAATATCTCAATACGGCAAGTTTCTTTGCATTTTTAGGGAAAGCCAGAGCATGCCTTTCAGGAAAAAAAGATTTCAAAAAAAGTATGTCACGTGCCCATTATTCTAAATCATAACATACGTTAGTCACATGGTCGTTTGTTTTTGATTATGGCGGCTAAATTGATGTATATAGAAAATGGTTATTAAGGAGCATCACACATAACCAATCAGCACAATATATAGGACGATGGTTATATAGCTAGGTAGTTTATATTTTCCCGATTTAATTGTTGTATGAAACATAAAAAGACAATCTAAATTAGTTTTAACTCATTTCTCCACATCTTTTTAACACAGTAAAAAGCATAATCCCTCGAAAACAATTAAACTTAAGTTGACCAAAAATACCATCATACTTGTATTAAGCTACAACTTACATCTTCTAAAGCACCAGATGTAACAATCATTTCCTTTAGCCTTCTATTCTTATGATGCTCAATCTGATCAACAACAGTGCAAATAAAGGATGGAAATTATATCTCAAGAACCATTCGCTTTATATAGTCGCCCTTAAAAATTGATGTATTAAAAATATCAAAAATATCAAAAATTCAACAAGATCATTTAGAAGTAAAGAAATTTATATTTGTTGATAATTAGGTATATGAGAAGGGCTGTGAATCATTACAAATCGGTGTGGGCTGGATAATATATATTGGACTGACCTTATATATTTAAAAGGGATCTATATAGCTAAGAAAGCATGAGAAATTGTGACAAATAATAGTTTACTTTACATAGTCAATTATATGATGAAAGTTGTTCAGACCTCTTTTAATCTGGAAAGGGGATTGGTATGATTCAAACTTGTTTAACCTGCATTCTATACCTTAGACTGCATAGCTTGTGTTATATTTTTAATGCTGTTTGCAATATCAATAAAATATCTCATTTACACCATTAAATGGATAAACAACAGGGTTTATATTATTTGGCAAGTAGTCGAAGAAGCAACCATTCTATTTAATGTCTCTATTTTCATTGATGGCTTAATATATAATGTGGCATTTCTCATAGATCAATTGTGGGAATATTATTTTTAAATTCTTTTAGACCCTCTAGATACCAATATAACTAATCGTTACACTCAATGGTATAACATTACAAAGTTTTAAGCATGCAATTGATATACATATTACTTTTACAATTACTACATCGTCAGTGAGTCATTAGCGTTGATTTATGCAGCTTAGCATTATTGTTCTCCTTACCGAAAAATGTATGCATATATATATATATTGTAATGTATTCAAAAATGAACTTAGCTCAAATTGGATTAGATAGATTATTGGCTTTAAAGATTATTTAGAATACAATTGATTTGATTATATATTTATAATAAAGAACATTGGAACCCAATTAGTTTATATTACCACGATAGAGAGGATGCCAATAACTTTACCATTCAAACAACTAGATGTCTTTACCACGGTGCCATATCATGGTAACCCAGTGGCTGTTATAAATTGTTTAGATATATCAGAAAATGATATTGATGAGAAGCAGATGCAGAATATTGCTAGATGGACTAACCTATCTGAAACCACATTTATTTTCAAACCTTCCAACCCAGAGAATGATTATAAATTAAGAATTTTCAGTCCAGTTAACGAACTGCCATTTGCTGGTCATCCAACACTAGGTTCTTGTAAAGCATTTTTACAATTTACTAACAACACAACTTCAAAAACAGTTAGACAAGAATGTGGATTGGGAATTGTCAATTTAACTGTAAATGAAGATGGTACAATCTCATATAAAGCGGCTTCAACTTCATTTGATAAAATTGATCCAAAAGTTATCAAAGAATATACAGAATGTTTGGGGGTTAAACCAGATGACGAGCCCTTATTATTACATGTAGGTCCAGAATGGGTTGTATTTCATGTTTCAGACAGTGATAAATGTTACAATGCCAACCCTGATTTTGCTAAATTAGCTGAAATAAGTAAAAGGAATGGGCATATTGGTATTATTTTGGGTGGTCCTAGAACTTTGGATCCTCATATTGAATATGAAATGAGGGCTCTAGCTCCAGTAATCAATGTCAGTGAAGATCCAGTATGTGGTAGTGGTTCTACGGCTTTAATCGCCTATTTACAAAATAAATACAAATTTGATAAAACTACTAAATTAAAGATTACACAAGGTGGTCGCGTTGGAAGAGTCGGTAGAATTCACTCAATGATTGAAATAAATGAAGCTAAGCAACCTAGTTTTCACTCAGGAGGTAATGTTATCAGCTTAATTAATGGAGAGATAACTGTCTAAGATTGCTTTCAAACCTAAACCCAAATATAAAAAAAAAAAAAAGATATAGACAATCCTATGATTAATAAATTGTTACATCAGTTCCAGGTAAGTATGTACTCCCAATCAGCAAAATTGCGCACTGACTGGATAATTTACGTTTCATATATAACCCTTATGTACTGTATAAATACATTCTTTATTATCTAAAATAAGCTTATCATTGCATATGGTTCCTTAAATATCAAATTCGGACAGTAAAATAAGTAGCAATAGCAAAATTCAATGAAACGACTAATAAAAAATCGAATAAGGTTTGTTTGAATCGATCAGTTGCATTATATATAATAAGGTTTAGAAAACCTTATGAATAAGTAGACTTAGAGCTGATATTTAGGACTAAACTAAGAAGTTTCCCTAAGAATATATATGCTTATGGCTAATTTAGCTTACTTTATGATATTATAAAACAATGAATAATTCATCGAATGGATATGAAAGCATCCCTGATGAATCCTTGAGGATAAGGAAGAGGGACTCGCTATTAAGATATACAAGACCGTTGTTTATTATTACTCTGTTGGTTTGGGGAATTGTTGTATTATTGAAGATTATTCAAAATTTTACTGGTATTAACGATGGCAATAGTGATGATAAGTATCACTTGCCAAATCCATTGGTTACCAATGATGGCTCTTTGAAAGTATCCTTTGAGAACGTAAGGAATGGAACATTTCAACCTGTTTACCATTCGTTACAATGGATTAAAAATGTTAATAATAATGATGATGATAATGGGTTATACCTAACAGATGCAAATAATACGTTTGCTATTAGATCAGTTTTCGATAAAGATTATGAACAAGTATTATTGAATAGTAAAACTTTTAAATACCAAGGTTCTAATTTTAGTGTAGATTCATTAGTTGCATCTCCGAACTTGGAGCAATTATTAATTAGAACTAATACTGTTTCAAATTGGAGACACTCGACTTTTGGATCTTATTTTGTTTATGACAAAAATTCAGAAGTTTTTTATTTAATTGGTGACAACATTGCATTAGCTGAATGGTCTCCAAATTCTTATGATATTGCATTTGTTCAAGATAATGACATTTATATTTACTCAACAAAAGCACATTCTGTTGTAAATAGAGTTACTGATGATGGTTCTTCTCAAATATTTAATGGGAAGCCTGATTGGGTATATGAAGAAGAAGTGTTTGAAGGTGATAGGGCATTATGGTGGTCAATTGATGGGTCATATTTGGCATTTGCTCGAATCGACGAAACTAAAGTTGGTGAGTTTATTTTACCGTACTATGTACAACATGAAGATGACATCTATCCAGAAATGCGTACAATTAAATATCCTAAAAGTGGTACAAATAATCCAGACATTGACATCCTAATTTATGATACTTACCATAAGAGTACGTTCAAGGCTGATATTAATCTTGGAAGTAAAATATCACCTGTTCTACTGACAGAAGTTATTTGGGTTGGAAATGATACCGTATTGGCAAAAACTACTGATCGTTCCTCCGATATACTAACGGTTTTATTAATTAATGCCAAGGAACAAACCACAAACACTGCTCGTGTTCATTCCTCTGACGACGGATGGTGGGAAATCACTCATACTACAATGTTTATTCCTAGTGACGCATCAAAAGGAAGATTGGAAGATGGTTATATCGATGTTTTACCTATCAATGGCTATAATCATCTTGTTTATTTTACACCATCAAACAGTTCGAAACCTATAGTACTAACAGAAGGCTCATGGGAGGTAGTAAATGGACCTTCTGTATTTGACAATGAAACTGGTGATATTTACTTTATTGGCACTAAGAAATCTTCAACTGAAAGACACATATATGGTGTCAATATCAATTCACCTAAAAAGGTTTATGAAGTAACTGATACAACCAAACCTGGGGTTTTCACAATATCCTTCTCATCAGGAGCAAAAGCAGCATTATTAACTTACATGGGTCCAAGTATCCCATATCAGAAAATTGTTGATCTCAAAGCAATTCAAAAAGATTCTGAGATAAGAGGAAACACAAAGGGGAGAACATTATATTACCTAGAAGAAAATGATATCTTGCAAGAAAACATGAAGAAGTATTCTGTTCCAGTTAAGACATTCGATTCTTTACATTTAGGGAATGATTCATATGGTAATGAAGTGATCGCTAATTCATTCGAAATTGTGCCAAATGACTTTGATCCTAAAAGAAAGGACTATTACCCTGTATTTTTTTATGCATATGGGGGTCCAAACTCTCAGCAGGTTCTTCAGACATTCTCAGTTGGATTCAATGAAGTAGTAGCATCACAGTTGGGTGCATTTGTTGTGGTAGTAGATGGAAGAGGTACTGGGTTTAAGGGCCAAAATTTTAGATCAATCGTGAGAGATAATTTAGGTGATCTTGAAGCAGTAGACCAAATAGCAGCAGCCTCTATCTATGCTTCTAAGGACTATATAGATGCGGAAAAAATTTCACTCTTTGGATGGTCATATGGCGGTTACCTAACTTTGAAAACTTTAGAAAAAGATGGTGGTGAACATTTCAAGTACGGATTGTCGGTAGCTCCGGTCACTGATTGGAGATTCTACGATTCAGTTTACACTGAACGTTATATGCATACCCCTCAAGAAAACAGCGAGGGATATTTCAAATCCAGCGTTCATAACGTAACGAATATCGCAGAGGCAAAGAGATTTCTACTAATGCATGGAACAGGTGATGACAACGTTCACTTCCAGAACAGTTTGAAATTCCTAGATCTATTAGATATCAAAGGTATCGAAAACTACGACGTTCACGTTTTTCCTGACTCAGATCACAGTATAAGGTTCCACAATGCCAACAATATAGTCTATGACAAGCTACTAAACTGGGCAAAACAAGCATTCAATGGAGATTTCGTAAAGTTACGCTAATCTATCCTACTCACTACATAATTGTTATTATATTTATACAAATCAGCGGTTATTTGAAATTCACGTGACTTGGTTGAATCGTAAATAAAATTAAAAAATGGAGCAGTGTGTTCGTATTATATGATAATGGTTTTTTTTATTCTCGGGTGGCAAAATAAAAATTGTACCGTAGTTATATATTTAAAAGTATATAAATCATAAAGATATCTAATTCAAATAAAGAACCTTTAAAAATTAAGTTATAATTAGGAAGAGAAGTAAGCTGAATTGAAGGTAATAGTGGTTATCAAATCCTGTATATATCACATCATAGTGCTATAAAAGTTGGAACTAGATATATTTGAACGATAAGATGTCTAACATCGGTGATAACGTCAAGGAGACGAAACCAGAATTGACTACAGCACCTACTAATGAAGAAAAGGTAAAAGATGGAAAAAAGGCTGCTGAAGAGGAGGAATTGTCTGAGGAAGATTTAAAATTGAAGACTGATTTAGAAAATTTGGTTGATATTTTGAAAAGTGATGATTCTAAATTATTTGAAACAACTTTGAACCAATTGAAGGAATTTATTAAAAATTCTACTAGTTCAATGACTGCTGTACCAAAGCCTTTGAAATTTTTACGTCCTGCATATCCAGATTTATGTTCCGTTTACGATAAATGGACTGATAAGACTTTAAAATCTTCGATTGCAGACGTTTTATCTGTCCTAGCCGTAACGTATTCTGACGATAAATCTCATGATTCCCTAAGATTTAGAATGTTATCAGATGAAACGAATATTGATAGTTGGGGTCATGAATATATTAGACATTTGGCATTAGAAATTGGAGAAGTTCATAATGAACAAATCGAAAAAGAAGCAGAAGTTGCTTCTTCAGATTCTGAAGGGGACGTTAAAGAGTTGTCTGGGTCATCTTTTGAATTTTCCAAGGAATCTTTATTGCATTTATCATTAGAAATTGTACCATATTTCTTGAAACATAATGGTGAAGCTGATGCAGTCGATTTACTATTAGAAATTGAAGCTATTGATAAATTACCACAATACGTTGATGAAAATACTTATAGAAGAGTTTGTCAATATATGATAGCTTGTGTACCACTTTTACCACCTCCAGAAGATGTTTCCTTCCTACAAACTGCTTACTCTATATATTTATCTGAATCTCAATTGACTGATGCATTGACCTTAGCCATCAGATTAGGTGATGAAACTTTGATAAGAGCAGTTTTCGATGCTACTGCTGATCCAGTTGTGCATAAACAACTAGCATATATTCTTGCGTCTCAAAGATCTTCTTTCCAATTTGAAAGCGTGCAAGACATAATTGGTAACACTAAGTTGTCAGAGCATTTTCTATATTTAGCAAAAGAATTGAACTTAACCGGTGCAAAAGTTCCAGAAGATGTTTACAAAAGTCATTTAGATAATTCTAAATCTGTTTTTGCAGGTACAGGTTTGGATTCAGCTCAACAAAATTTAGCGGCATCTTTTGTTAATGGTTTGTTAAACTTAGGGTACTGTAACGATAAATTAATTGTTGATAATGATAACTGGGTTTATAAAACCAAAGGTGACGGTATGACTTCAGCAGTTGCTAATATTGGTTCAATTTTTCAATGGAACTTAGATGGTTTGCAACAGTTGGATAAATATTTATATGTTGATGAACCTGAAATTAAAGCAGGTGCTTTATTGGGTATAGGTATTGCTGGTTCTGGTGTACATGATGGAGATGTCGAACCAACTTTACTTTTACTGCAAGATTATGTCACAAGTTCGGATCCAAAAATTAGCTCTGCGGCTATGTTAGGGTTAGGTATTGCATTTGCTGGTAGTAGAAATGAAGAAGTTATGGGGTTGTTGTTACCAATAGCGGCTGATACATCCCTACCTATTGAAACATCTGTCATGGCTTCATTAGCGTTGGGTCATATATTTGTTGGTACATCTAACGGTGACATTACAGCTTCTATCATCGATAACTTTTTAGAACGTAGTGCTATTGAGCTAAAAACTGAGTGGACTAGATTTTTAACATTGGCATTAGGTTTGATCTATCTAGGTCAAGGTGAACAAGTTGATGATGTCTTGGAAACAATCAGTGCTATTGAACACCCAATGGTTTCTGCTATGGAAGTACTAGTAAGTGCGTGTGCTTATACAGGTACCGGTGACGTCTTATTAATTCAAGATTTATTGCATCGTCTAACTCCAAAATCTGTAAAAAAAGAAGATGAAGAAGATGAAGAAGATGAGGGAGATAAAGAAGATTTGAGTAAGTTCTTGGGTGAACAACTATCTGAGAAAACAGAAGCCTCTGATGAAATGGATGTTGATGAAGTTGAAGAACCTACATCTTCTGAACCAAAAGCCAAGAAGGATCCTACTACTACGGAAGAAGTAAAAGATGATAATGAACAAAAATCTGATGGAGTAAAGGAGGAAGGATCGAGTGATAATAAGAACACTGAAGAAGATGCATCTCAGACTGATGAAGTATTGTATGCAGTTTTAGGTATTGCTATGATTGCTCTGGGTGAAGATATTGGTAAGGAAATGACTTTACGTCATTTTGGACATTTAATGCATTATGGTAACGAGCATATACGTCGTATGGTACCTTTGGCAATGGGGTTGGTTTCTATATCTGATCCTCAAATGAAGGTATTTGACACTCTGTCACGTTTTTCACATGATCCAGATATCGATGTTTCTATCAATTCTATTTTAGCAATGGGTCTGTGTGGTGCTGGTACCAACAACGCTAGATTAGCCCAATTGTTAAGACAATTAGCAAGTTATTATTCACGTGAACAAAATGCATTATTTGTAACAAGATTGGCACAAGGTTTGGTCCATCTTGGTAAAGGTACTATGACTTTAGATGTCTTTAACGATGCCCATTTATTAAATCATGTTACATTAGCATCATTATTGACTGTTTTGGTTGGTATGTCATCTCCATCATTTATGTTAAAGCATCACCAATTATTTTTCATGTTGAATAGCGGTGTTAGACCCAAATACATTATTACATTAAATGAAGATGGCGAACCAATAAAGATCAATGTTCGTGTTGGTCAAGCTGTTGATACAGTCGGTCAAGCTGGTAAGCCAAAAACAATTACTGGTTGGATTACTCAGTCTACTCCAGTCTTATTAAATCACGGTGAGAGAGCTGAACTTGAAACTGATGAATATATAAGTTATACCAAAAATATTGAAGGTATTGTGATACTGAAGAAAAATCCAGATTATGACAGTAAGGAATAGAATGAATCATATATAGAGATATATATCAAGAAATATATACCGCAATAATAAAAATAGTAATAATAGTAATAACATTTATTAGATCAAAGAAATCAGGCTCCAAGAAATTACACCTAATATGTCAGGTTTCTCATCAATAAGGGTATAAATTTTATAATTCCTACAATTATATAGTTGGTGTTCCTAGTCAGAAATTGATTTTATTTCTAATGGATACTTATTACATACCCTGATTGAAGTTATATAAGATTCAAAGGTGGTAATGATATTCTATTAAAATCTAATCGAGGTGAGGAAAAGTGGCTAGATCCGAACAGTAAAATAGACTGTTGAAAATAGGATTAAAATTACTATTTATAATTAAATTAGTGTCTATTTGATATTGACATATTAAATATACGTCTATTAAGTATATACATTACATTGTATTCTATGTATTCTTTAGATTAAAAGTTCTTCCTGATTCATTTGAACCTTTTCTTTACCAGTAGCTAAATTCTCAAATCTTTTCTTCCAATAATCTACTTCACTTTCTAATTCATTGACCTTGTTTTCAAAGTATGAGTTCTCTCTGACCATTTGGTTTAAATCCAGTTTTTGTTTTGTAATCTGTTTTTCATAGGTAGTTATCCGCTCACTGAACTGATGCATCTCTTCCTCAAATTGTTGTCGATCCTGGTTTGCATTCTCAATAGTCACAGTTTGTTTGTCATTATGTTCCTTAAGCTCTTCAATTATTTTTTCTAGTGTTTGGTTCTTTTTCATTTCTTCATATTTCATTTCAGTTTCACTTTGAACAAGTTCTTCAAATTCTTGAATTTTTGAAAGCCATGCTTCTTTATCTGATGTATCTGCCAATTTGGCCTCCAAAGATTTGATTTTTTCTTTTAATATATTATTAGAGCTTAAAACAGATTGATTTTCTTCAATCAAACTTATGTTTTTATCCTTCTCTTCATAGTAACCTGACTTAAATTCTGCCGACTCTAATTCCAATTTGCCAATCAAATCTTCATTACGACGAACCTGTTCCTGTTGTAATTTTAGTGCTTCTCCAAGGTGATTCTTATTATTTAAGAGTTCCGATCTTTCTTCCATTACACTATCTAGATCTTCTCTTGTTTTCTGCAATGATGAGTTAAGAGTTTCTGTCTCTGAGATTAACAATGACTTTTCATTTAACAACCTATCAATATTTTCATTTAAGGATTTTTGATCTGTCTTCAAGTTATCTAACTGCATGGAAATTTCTTTATTGGATTCAACGATTAAATCTTTCTCATTACTTAATTGCTGTAACATTAAAACATAATGCTCATTTTGTTGTGTCAAATCATTCAATTTAGACTCTGAATCGTTCTTTAACATTTCTAAGGCATAGTTTAGTTTAGAAACTTCTTTCTTCAATTCAGTTTCATACTTCGTATGTAACATGAGCTCTTCTTGTAATTTCTCGATTTCGTCGACTTCTTTGGTCTTATCTTGCTCAGCTTTTAGTCTTTCCTTAAAATGTTCAAGTTCCGAGGATAATAATTTTATCATATCTTGAGATTTCTTCAGTTCAAAATTGCCTTCTTGGATTTTGATTTCCATTTCATCTTTTTTGGTTTCGTAATCCCAAATTAGTTTCTCTTTATCGCTATTAGAATCCTTTAATTTTTCAATAATGTTAGCCATGTTTCTTACATCTTGTTCTGCCTCAGCCAAAGCATGGGAATATTCCGTCAATTGAGTATCGGCATCATTAATATATTTCATATTATCTTCAATCTGTTTTTTGTTACTAACAATTATGTTTTTCAAATCTTTATTTCTTGACTCAGAAGCTTCGAGATTTAATTGCAACGTACTTATTTGTTCAGATTGAAGGGTTTCCTTGGCAGATGCCTGTTTTACAAGATGTACTAGGTTATTCATTTTTTTGTCAGAATCGTTTAGAACTTCTTGCAATTTATAATTCTCAAGTTTGTGGAATCTAACTTCATCTTCATATTTCCTGTAATCATCATGAGAATAATTTGAATTAGTTAATGATGGAAGCGGTAGGTTAGTTCTATCTTTGAGTGGTACGGGATTATTATGGTCAACAAATTTATTAATTTGTTCATTCTTCTTATTTTTGTTTAACCTTGAAAAGATACTACCCTGGATTGGATTTGAAACATTGCGCTGTTTATTCTCTAAACTTGAAAGGGCATTCTCCGCGTCATATCTAGCCTTAGTCTCTATTTCTAATTGTTCCTTTATATGATGTAGTTCTAGAACTAATTTTTGAACATCCATCTCAGATATCATATCTGTATTGCCCAACTCTTTATCTAAATCAATGGTAATGTTCGCATTTTTTATAATTTCTTTCATCTTTTTGATCTTACCAGCACTATGTTGTAACTCAAACATTGTAGATGCCAGTTTGGTCTCAGTGAATCTTAATTTTGCAATTAAATTTTTTTTCTGCTCTATTTCAGCCTTTAATCTTTCTGACGTCTGTACAACCTTTTCATTCAATTCTTCAATCTTTCCCATTAGTTCGATATTTGCAGTTTCGGAAACAATAACTACCTGGTCCCTATCTTTCTGTTCTTTTATCTTTAAATTCTCATTTGTAACCTGTAGTAATTTTTGAGCCAGGGATTCATTCTTAGCCTTTTGCTCAATCAAAGCATCGGACAAAGAAGATAATTTTTCTTCATCAACTGACCTGCTGTTAAAATTATTCTTTAAATCTTCATATTTTTCTGTTAAGTTGTGGTTACTCTTCTTGAACGTTTCAAGCTCCCTCTGGACCTCGCTTAATTTCTGGATGGTTGTTTGAGATTTTTCAATTTCATTAGTTTTATCATGAGTTAGCTTCTTTATGTCATTCTCATAATTGGTTATCGAATTTAATAACTTTGTATTATCTTCCTCTCTACTTTTAACTTGCTTATTAAGTGCCAGTTGTTCATTTTTTAGAGATGAAATCTGAGAACGCAATTCACTGTTTTCATTCACTAACTTACTCAGGCGGTCTAAAGCCTGGGTACAGTTTTTCTCTAACTCTTCAAGCTTTCCATCTAAGGTGACTTCTGAAGTTTTTATTTGACTTCTTAGAATTTTGATTTCATCAGATTGAGAATTTTTCAACTTACTCAAGTTCTCGATTTCCAGTTTGAATTTTTCATTTTGTGCCATATATTCCTCTTCTTCCTTCTTCCTTGATTCGGCAATTATTTGTAAAGATTCTAGTTCGCTAGATAAGTGTTCTTTTTCAAGTTTGAACTCTTTTCTCAAATTAATTTCCTTATTCTTCAAATTATCCTCTAAATCTTTGACTGTATTTAACAATTTTTGATTATCAACTGATAAGGATTCTTTCTGTTCGGTTAGATCCTCGACATTCTTCAAAAGGTTTCCATTATCTTCCTTCAGATTTTTATTTTCTTTTAGATACTTTTCGATTTCTTCGGATATAATCTTTATTTTATCATTGATTCTTGAATTTTCATCTTCAATAGCAATTTTTGATATCTCCAACTTATCATTTATTAGTTTTAGCTTTTCTAACTTTTCAGACAATTCCAATTCGGCATTTTTGGAAGTTTGCAAAAGTTGGTTTTTGCCTTCTAGCTTCTTGGTCTCTACTTTAAGTAGTTCTCTTATTTGTTCCAACTCATTGTTCTTCAACTCGTTCGTATTTATTAGTTCTGTTTTGTTCTTCTCAAGATCATCAATTTTATGCTCCAATCGCTTGACATTTTCGCTGTATTTCTTTTGTCTAACAATGTCTTGAGAAGAATTCAGTAATGGTAACAATTTTATATATAATCTAAACCAAGGGTTATTTGCCATTTCTTGTTCATATACAACAAAGTTTTTTCCAATTAATTTTGAAGAATTCAATTTTGACAATTTCATTTGTGTTAATTGTCTGATTAAATTACCCTTAATTATTGCGTTCATGAAAGTTACTGATGTTGATAACTTCTCTTCAATCTTTACTTCTAAATCAGCTAACACACCAGCTTTAAAAAATAGTTTTGTATTACCGACTTTATATAAAGAAGGATCAAGGTTTAATTCAGTAGATATTAATAATTCACAATTTTGTTTTAAATTGCTGGCGTTGATAGAATTTAGAACAGAATTGTCTAATAAAAATTTATATCTCTGAAAAAACTCGTTGAATAAAATACGGTTTGGATAACCTTCTCTGGCTATTCTAATACCCTCTAATACACCATTGCAACGTAGTTGATCTAAAATCAATTGCTTATCAAATGTTTTAGGTGCCTTGAGATTATTTGGTATTATGCAACGAATAAAATGAGGATTCGTCAACCGCAATTGTTCTAATAAAGAGTTCAATTGTTCTCTATGTCTTGAGGAAGTAGTAACTTTGATAGAATTAGAAAGTTGAGTTTCAGTATTGAAAAAGCTTGAAACTAGACGATTCTCTGAACTAATAAGTATGTTTAGCAAATGGTCGTTAAGAGGGTCTCTATTCTTTAGTAACCAACCATCTGTATGATATTCCACATCACCAGCATAATGCTTCAGAATGAAAGAGTTAAGCTTTTTGGATCTTTTAAACTTATTGTTAGTTGTTTTTTTGTTGGAGTTATTATCCCAATTTGAAATAAGCTTCTGGAAAAAAGATTCATCACTAGAATTTGGAATTATGGATTCTTCATCTAACAATGGTAAAATACCTGTTGGGTTTGATTTCTTAAGCTCGATTAAGTCAATAGTTGACTGCAGATCTTTACCAAAATTTATGTAATCCCATTCGATATTTTCATTGATATATTCATTTTGTTCCAATATAAACATATGATGGTTAAAAAATTGTTGTAGTTTTTCGTTGGTATAATTAATGCAGAATTGTTCAAATGAGTTTTTTTCAAATATCTCAAAACCAGCTATATCCAAAATACTTATGAATTTATAATTTGATCCAACATCACTACCTGTAGCTGAATGATAGGATTTTAAATTTTCATTGATTTTGCTTACTATATAATCAAATAAATTTTCATACAATGTTCTTGATAATGCATTTAAGATAGATTTTGATTGTAATGAATTTTTTGATTTATGAACCCATTCTCGTCCTGCTTTTGATTTTGGCCTCAATATAGAATCTTTAAAGTCATATGAATCTTCTATACCTAATAGAGCTGCAATTTTTGTTAAAAGCTCTGGATTTTGAAAGGCTGCCTGTTTATCATTATTTTTATTATTAGATGAAGAATTGTTACTAACAAATGAAGAAGTAAAATTCAAATTACCAATATGTAAAATTGAAGAAATCACTTTAAAAATATTCTCAACCTCAATTTTACTAAAACCTATTATATCAAAAGCTGCTAACAAAGCTTTGAAGTTTGAATTATCATTATTATTAGTTATTTTATTTAAGATTTGATAATCATTGATATCGGTGGATTCTATAAGTAATTTTGATTTTAAATCTGCATTGTTCGAATCTGATAGACCTGCTAATAGCTCGTAAAAAATATGGAAATTTCTCTCAGCTTTTGATTGATTAGTTATTCTTGATTTTTCTAATAAATACCAATCAATTTGAGCTCCGATAATTTTGTAAACATCACTTGAATCTTTTGAAAAGTTGATTTTAATGAATTTACCAAATCTTGAAGAATTATTGTTTCTAACGGTTTGAGAATTACCAAATGATTCTAAAATTGGATTACTTTGTAAAATTTTTGTTTCAAAATTGTCCTTATTTAAACTTTGAGTAATCGATGCTAAATATTGTAAAATTTTTTTTGTATTTTCAGTTTTACCTGCACCAGACTCACCGGTGACTAAAATTGATTGATTATTGTCATCATGTAATAAATTTCTATATGCATTTTCTGTAATATTAAATATGTGAGGAGGTAATGAAGAAGAATTTTCTATTTCGTTTACATCATTTTCCTTTGAACTTGGGTTTTGATTATGGTATAACTCTCTAATTTTTTGATTATAAATGTCTAGGTTTTTGTATGGGTTTATTGCCACTAAAAATAAACCTGAATAGGTATAAATTAAATTATCCTTATATCTGTTTTCTAAATTGAATAAAACAGAAGGTTCGTTTAAATGAGTTAATTCAGACATGTCATTAACTTTATCGAAAATATTTGGGTTCACAGGAAAGATTTTTGAAATTGGAAAATCAATTATATCACCATTTGATAATAACTTCAATTGTACAGTCTGTTCCTCATTTTCTTTTTTATTGGTTATTAAGTTATTATCATTACTTGAATCAACTAATTCAGCTTTTGTAAATAATTGAGTAGTATCTTCAACAGGCACCCAAAATAAGGTGGGATTGTTTGAACTTTTACCAGTCATGGTATATGTATTTTAAAATTAGTGCTTTAGATTGAATTCAATTCAGGTCAGACGAATAATTGATAAATTAATATAACTTAACAAACTGGGAGGGGGGGAGCGAAATGAAGTGAACTTATAATATTATGAGTGACCGTAAAGATTAGTAATAAAGATTGAGTTTAAACCAATGCTCTCAATAGCTTTAAATTAACAAATCAACAAAATTGATGAATTTCACAATATATCTTGTAATGAATGATGAGGATTAAATTGAATTGAAAAAGATCACAACTTAACAATCTATTCACTTCTGTTTCGTAACTTAAAATTTCAAATAAAAATTAAAATGAATAGGAAGTTACAGTTGTTATAAATTTAGGAAGGTTAGGCGGCTAACCCAAAAGTAGAAGCAGTTTTGGTATTAATAAATGAAAGTTGGGAATAGAAGCTAGCACAAAAACAAAAAGTTCGAATTCGAAATTGCATGATCATATTTTGATCAAGAATTTTACCCAATTCGGTAAATTATGTCTGTTAGTAAACAAACTAATTAAGTTTATATATTTCCTATTTTAGTAAGTTGACAACTTAAATGATTAAATAGGAAATATACCGAAATCTGAAATTATTCTAAAAAATAGTAAGGGTAACAACTCAATTTATGTCACATGCCACTTTAATTTTGAAGGATTACTTGAAATTAACAACTTAGAATGATTAAAAATTATATTTTAACCCGGGTAACGTTTTTGGATGAAATAGAGCTCCGACGGAAATTAGTCAGGGACTTCGAGGACTTCACATTGGCGTTGCTGACGCTGCATTAATTGATATGTTCATTTATTCATTTTACATGAATTTTGATTTATTTTAATTTGTTGTCACGCTCACTAGACCTGATTATATTTGTACAAGCTTCTACCAAAGATATATTTTCAAATTATTCATATACTCTCAAATTTGATTTTGCGTGTTAGAGGATAGGTAGATTGCATATAAAAAAGGATGATACCATCCTAAATCTTAAAATTGTTATAACAGTATTAATAGTCACCTGAAAAGACATTAGTTATTTCATAACAACTGATATAGATTGAAAATGTGAGCCAACCACTATTAATTCTACTTGTTCCAAGTTTCTAAAATTCTTGTAACTCTATGGAAGTCAGAAGCTCATTTACAAAAACGTCACATTTAAAGAAAAAAGTAATAAAAGTTTAAAGTTTCTGGAGCCATATTGAGATTCCCATTATAATTATAACTATTTTTAAAAAAATTTACTTTAGTTTTCTTTCCCCTATGGATTGTTAACTAAGGAAATTAAAGATATCGATATTTAAATTGGCAAGAGCGTGAAGATTTGTGTATGACAAAGGAGTTACCTTTCACTTATTCACAGTATTTTTCTACCAATTAAATTGCTAGTGAAAACTACGAATATGTGCCTCCATTTTCTTAAATATATCATTCAAGTGGATAACAATTCTTCTTAAAAGTAGTAGTACCTGTGTATAAACAGATGACGAATTTACATTCAATTGCACAAATTTGATTAAAATCTCGAAAGTTTTAAGAATATTAACAAATAATTCTATCCAAATCGAAATATGGACCATTAAATTCACTGATAATTGACCGGCTCTGAATTTTGCAAGTTTCGGAATATCAGCAAACTTCTTCCTAATGATTAATAAATGTTTTCAATATTTGTTTTTTATATTGTATCTTACCGGATTGTAAGGTAGAGTTCTACTTTTGAGATATGAATCGCATATTCAATTTATTTTAGAGTACATTACTTCAATCCTAAAACTGTATAATTGTTGAATAAGGTGGTCATTTACTGTGAAAATTATCACAGACCAAGACGGCAGATATTTATCGTAATAAAATATTTGCAAGAAATATTATTTTGGTAATTTGATGTATTAAACTCTTCCAAATACTATCTTGTTAAAATTTCGTTATGACTTGAATTGTAATCCTTTATCCCTTTACTTAAAACTTCTTCTTCTCCATTAATAAATTTTCCTTCTTTATATTCAACTCACATAAATTGTTCCCTTAAGGAAACAAAATTTCGTACATACTCAAGAGTGAGATATAATTTATGACGTAAGCTTACAGTATGTTCCACGCTAACAGGATAAGCAAGATACCCAACCGGTAAAGAAGTACAATAAGAAAGTAAAGAGACTTGGTATTGAGAGATATGGGTCCAAAGTCTAAATATAATTTTTTTCTTACACGAAGAGGTAAGTATTATTCTGTGTTTTTTCTTTTTTGGATTTCCTCTACAATTTTCAACTACAAAAGACCTTCTTTAATAAGATCCAGTCACAAGATTTGGAAATACTGGAGAATGGAAGTAATGCATTGAATTTCCAATAACCATTCTGTTTGACAAGATAGGGAGATATTGAATTACAGAATCCTGAAATTGCAGAAATAATGGTGATTTCTAATTCCTATTTGTTAGTGGATAAATGACTTGTGTGCTAGATTGAACTTAAAATTTTGTTTTTGCTTCGATTGATATTTGATATAATGAATTAATATTCTGGAAAATCACCTTGCTAAGTGTGTAGCCATTTTCCTGTGCATCTTGTAAGAAATGTTGTTCATATGATTCTTAAATATACTTTAAAAACTCTTTATAGCCCCAAAGTACGAGTGCCTATCAATTATGATTTGAGCAGTAACAAAATCTTCAAAAGTAATCCTTTTTTCCTTCCACCATTTAAAATTAAATCACCATGCTAAATATATTATATGCGATTTTGTTTGGCTAAAAGATCTTTAACTGAAGATTGACCCAGTTAAGCTATGTATGACACATTGAAACATATATTCTCCATAATTCATATTCATGACTTGTGTTTTGGAATATTCAGCCCCTTATTCAATCAACATTTCTCTCTTCTTAAATACCAAAAAGAGTTTTTGAACGTCTCTGTGTCATGACCATTTTGACTGTGACAAAAAATCTCATTATCAGGTACCTTTTCAAAGGCTACTTTTTACAAACAAATTATCATTCCGTGAGATGCTAATCTCAATGAATTTAACGATGTAACGACCGTATCTTTGTTATACATAAATGTTATTTCTAAAGTAGCACTTATTTCCTTCTTATTTATCAAAATGTTGATATTAATAGCAATATATGTCACATTGATAGTAGTAGTAGCACATTAGTTATCAGATATGTTTTGGATTTAGTTATGAAATGTAAGGTTAAATATATTCGAGACAATTAACCTGTCTTTATTTTCAGCCAGCCGCATTTTATTTTATCTTCAGCTTGTGATTTATTTACAAGTGTTTGTTAATTATCAGCATTATTTTCTGTATTCGTAAAAACTCTAATTATTTCTCAGCCAGTCATTGATGATTACGTCACTGTCATTCTATTCCTTCATATTTTTGTAAGAATTCACTTACATATGTTAATGTTGTCTTTGTCTTCAGATTATGCAATATAGTTCAATATTTGATGTCACAATTACAATTAGTAAAGATTTCTTTAATACCTCAATGCCTCAAGATTAATACGTGGAATGTTCAATGACATTACGAACTAATTGTATTTTTATATTCCAAAATAAGATATAGTAAAAATAATCTGTATTTAAAAATTATGTTCCCCTGCAAAGGTTTAATTGGTTGAAGAAAATATCCTGTATATATTTCATGTCATCAAATGACAATCTTTTCGGGTAATTGGTTCCAAATATGGTTTTAAGGCTTATTGGGATGTTTCATATATGCAATTCCTAACTGTACATATCTCGCTCTGGAAGTTCCAGAGATGGTTTCGTACAAATGTTTAAATGATAATTGTAGTACTGGTTTGCTCTTTTCTTCTTCAATGGAATAGCATAAATATGCTTTAGGAGAACTCAGGAGAACTATTTTTCTTTTTTTACCCATCTAGAAAAACAAATTGTTTTTGTGGCACTAAAATAATATACGCGCAGTGACAGACAAAAGTGTATCGTTTCTTTTTCAGAAAATTCCATTGTTGACTGTTATTTATCCAACATTCGCCACAACTGCACGTCTCCTCTAAATGATTGATTTCGAACGGCATAACACATTCTTTAGAAAAATTCAAGATGAAACAGGATTGTCTATTGATTTTTAGGTTTATAAGAGAAAAGACTGTATAGTAACTAAATTCCATGTATTATTGTTTTCAATATCTATATATTTTTTCTTCTTATTTTTCAATTATCAGTTCTAAAAACCGCAGTGTATTAATAAGCATATCTCTTTTCAAATATGACGGCTGTATGATTACATGGTCACGTATGTCTTTAAGTAAAAATAATAGAGTTAACATTTACTGTAAAAATCAATTGTATATGAGCTTGGAAAAGATAACTTCGTATATAAAAATATTATATTGTTAGGGACAGATAATTGATAGTAAAAATTTTTAGAATTATCCTACTTACTATTGAAAAAAAACATTCTGTTGTTTCTTTTTCTACGTCTTCCTCTGATAAGTATATTTGAATTAGTGGTGCCACAGATTTTTATTGGCTTATGATATTTTAAAATATCAATTTTGTATACTTGTATTTATTTTCACTTATTAAGAAAGCATAATCTAATCGTTGAGAATTGTGATAATAATGGTCAGAAATTTTGTTACTTTACTTTAGAGAGCTTGAAAGTTGAATTATATCACATTATCTGAATCATAATAACATTCTCTTATAGTTGTTCCGAATGTTTGTCTTACGAGATTATAACGTACGATTTTATAGACCAAATATTTTTTTCCCTTTTCGGTCGCGGGAATTTATCCTGAGAGATTTAATAAGAATTAAAATGTCAATACAAATTTTATCTTGTTCAACGTGCATAAAAATAATAATAACAATAATCTATGGACAAGTTATTCAGAATATATCTTGCAAAATGTGCATTAATTAACCTCATTGTGAACTTGGGGTACTTTTCGAAGATCGGTTAATGTCTATTATAAACTCGAAAATATTCCCAACCTGATTTATTAATGTACATTACATTGAACTAATGGAGGGAATTATTTCATAAATTTATAATTTTACTTACAATTGTATTTGAAAAGTCAATACGAATGGAATAGGTGTTAATGATGCCAGCCAATGATTGTTAAAATTCCAACTCAGCCAGGTGTTTCAAAGTAACTGTCATTTCCCAGATACGATGTATTCCTTGTTATTCATTTTCAAGTTAGTTAATTACTCTGTACTTACGTAGCGTATAACGCCAATTATGTAGCTAGATTTCAGAAATCATTGATCATTAACCAGAAAAATAGATAGTCAGAACAAGAATTTGGTTAATTCTAGTGACTTAAAGTAAAATTATCTCATCTTCATTGTGGGGTGATTAGCCATGTCGATACAACTAATTCAATAAACTCGATATTAAACTCGATATTAAACGAATTAGATGGATTGAAAAGCATCATTGTTTGGGTGAAAATAACTTACTTGGGAGGAAGTGAGAAATTTTTTTGATTTTAGGCACATTGAAGTAGGGACCCGACCATGGTCAGCCAAAATATGGATAAAAACCTCAAAGTGGATAACATTAATTCGAATTATTCGCAGGACAATTTATTAGGGGACGTAGATGAAACAACTGACAACAATTAATTAAGACCAAAACAGGTAAATATGGGATGGGAGATTTTTTATTAGCTTCTTGAAGTAATATCCCTCAATATCTGTAGATTAATAGATCTACATAGTATTGTGTTATTGAATGTTAACTAAAACATTGTGCTCTTTATTTACTTGTGCAATAAATAGAATTTTCCCCTTGTGGTTAAATTTTTTTTTGTTCATGTACCACTAGAAGTAATTGCATTGGTAGAACGTTCTTTAAGAATTTTTAATAATTAATGATCAGAAACAACCTCAAATGGGTTACCATAGGCGTAATTTCATCGAATCTCATATATTTCTTTTCGTTAAAGGTATCTCCGACGGTCATATCTTATCCTAGTATTGCAAAATAACAAAATAGGTGTATTAAGGGCCACATAACATTTATAGGAAATGTGGCCATAATATAAATCGTTGGTAATGATTGAAGTGTACTTTTTCGAGGATGGGGTATTATAAAAATTAGTTTCAAGTTCAAATATTAATTGTGCCATCTTTTCTCTAAAAGTAACTAGTCAAAGACTGATTAGTTTAGACATATTAAAATAAGTGTATACAATGCTAATGACACTGTTAATATTGATAGATTTCATGATATAATAAATAATTATCGAGTGAATAAAAACGTAAGGAAAACATCTTAAGAACATACCGTAAGACCCTATTTTCTCCAAGATAATCTTTGATTACCTTGAAAGAACTAGACCCACTTTCCTTGTTCTCAATGATATCCCTTGGTCAGTACACGACTTCGACTGACAAATAAAAAAAATAGACAAGAATATTTTGCTTCGTCCTCAAAATATCTATTAATCTCTTGTACTGTATAGTCAAACTAACTAGACTTTGTATTCAATTAATTATATTCAGTTCCTAAAGTGAATAAATGAAGTAGTCAATAAGAATAAAAGCAAAATTCATTTAACTCTCAGAACTCTTTTTTCTTTTTCTTGGTGTTGCCCTTCCAAAGTTCAGCCTTAACACTCTCTCTGAAGAGATCCTACTAAAGTAAATTTGAGAGAATTGCCAAGACACAACCGAAGAAATTTACAATTGCATCATCAGAATTTTTTAGAGAGAAAAAAAAAGAAGACTACAGGACCAGAATACAAGACAATACCCGTACCCACCAAAACTCAAATTTAATTTAAAGAACAGATAAATAAATATCATTTCTTTTTTTTTGCCTTCCCCAGCGAGTAGTCCTTCTACTCACATTTCTTTGAACAATCTAGATTTCTTTTACTTTTCACCGAATCTCCACCTGTAGAAAATTGTCGTTCTCCTGCAACGCTTTCTTCTTTGACCCATAACAAAGCACCATATTTATCTCTCTCCCTATCTTGCTTTTACTGTGAATCCACAAAAACAAATAAATATTCCAAGATACATCAAAAGTTTCTTTTTCCATGTTTTTCCTTTCGAACAAACATATGGAGTAAAGCATAAATAGAATTTTTTTGCACAGGTCTCTCTGAAATTGTGACAATTTTCGTTGGGAGAGATGTTTGAATTTCTTTTTTTTTCGTGATTATTGGATAACGTTTCAGAAAAGAAGCAAAAGCAGAAATTTTGGACAAATAAAGAAAGTGGTAGAACTTGTTAAGAGGGAAAAAAAATATTCAACTTGGGCACCAAAGGCAGTCAGGATATTAGTAGGGAGAAATATATTTTTAGCTTTGCTTTTGTTTTTTCATAGGTGGAGACAGCTTTAAAGATACCAACAAGACTGCACGGAGTGACTGAGTTGACATTATAACTTGTAAGATTTTTGGATATGGTATTATCATAAGATTGAAAACCCAACAACTAGCGTGCTTGCGTTATTAATCGAAACATAATCAGTATTTATCTTTCATTTTCCATTTTTCATTTTACAGGTTGTCTTTTTTCTTTTTCGATTCGATTAGAGATAACCCTGCACAGTTTCGAAATTCCTCTCCTGAGCTCTATTGGCTAGGTACTCTCAAAATGGACATATCTGCACTTGACAATTGAAACAACAAGAATAAAAAATAAAAGAAAAAACGTGAAGCTGCCTTCAGATGTTTCTTGAAAAGCAATCAAACGGGTATAGAATCAACTGTTAGAACTCAGTCAAACTGATATCTTGAAACTCTTTGTTTCCACACAAATTCTTCCAAGCTTATTAATAACTTCAAGTTTTGCTATCTATGTGTGGTGGTGCCTCATCTATTTTTCTCTCTATGTAGTGTGTTTTGTTTTTTTGGGTCTTTATGCTTTTTTCTTTTTTTAAATGTTCTTATTTGGAGTGCCTTTCTCTGGATTTCTAAGTTCGAGTTACTTATATCTTCTCAGAGAAAGTGCGGCGACCACACACAACTCAAGGAAGTACTTTGCATCTATTCTAGCCCATATAGTGTGGGTGTGTGAGTTATCTACGTAAGGTCTCTTCAGTAGATTTCGAACAAAGTTGATGGTAACTTGTGATGGAAAGATTGAATTATTATTATATAAATATAAACTTAACCATTGTGACTGAATTTTTCGAAATCTTCTTCTCTATCATTTAATCTTGGGAATGTCATCTATTCTTTTACTATATGATATAGGGATAACTCGAACCTGCAACTCTTCTGTCTTCTTTTTTTCTTTTTTTGAAATCGCAATTAATTTTTAGATAAAGGATACCGTTCGTTAAGTTGATTTCTACAGTTGTCTTATTATAGGCATCTCATTTTGATTGTTGAATACAGAGTTAGATTTTATTTAGCAAAAAAATTATTGCTTCTTTCGAAGAAACTATTAAGGTACAGAGATATTCATATACTGCCAACGCTCATAAAAGTATATATATACAGGTATATTTATACAAAGATTGAAAAGTGACAGAATTATACTTATTTCGAGCTTACAGCATTAGTTTGGTTCATTCATTTTTAGGTTTCGATTATATGTATAGCATACATTCATTGCATTAATATTAAGTTTGTTTTTTTTGTTAGTGTTATAGATTTTTAATTATTCCAGCTAGCAGGTGAGATGACAGGAATTATTTTATTTAATTATGATCGTAATTCTATTCAAAACGACGAATACCGTTGCTATGAAGTTAATAACCATAGGATAACCGTGATAGGTAAAGGTTGCACCGGCAAGACCTCGTTGATTTTAAGACTGGTTCATGAACCAAATAATACAAGCAAAATAGCATCTGGTGAAGAGAGATGTACAGAAGACGTGTTCTCTAAAACAATTGGTTGCCAAAGTTTGATCGACTATATCAACGAGCATAAAGGAGATAAAGATTTCAAGTGTGATCCAAATCTAATAGAAGAATTGGAAACAAAAAGAAAATACGGCACAACTAAGATCCAAGTGCTCGATTCTTCGTTTGCTATTGATAAAGAAGATATAAATGATGAGTTTAATCCAATAAGGATCATGCAATTAAAACAGTCAGATTCCTTCATATTTTGCTTTGAATCTACTAGCGTCGAATCATTGATGGAATTGACAAGTTATTACTATGATATTTTAAAAGTATATGATAATGACGTAAGCCGTTTGCCTCCAATTACTTTTGTTTGTACCAAAACAGATTTAGCCTACAATATTCTAGCAGAAGATATTCAACACTTTGCAGATGAAATTGGTCTGGAAATAGTAAGAAATAAAAATTTCTTCGAAGTATCAACAACAATCGATTATTCAATAGTGTTTGATGATTTATTGGTAAATATTGTTTTGGAAATTGAGAATTTTAAATACAATAGAAGAATGGAGCTAGAAGAGGCAGAAATTTCATTAGGGATAAATGAACCAGAAACAATACATTGTGATACTGAGAAAGATGATATCATGGAAAATTCAAATTCTCTAGTGGATAATTTTACATGTTCCAGCGTCACCGATGATACAAAAGTGGATAAAAAGGTTACAACTGTTGAAAAGAAAGTAAAGCCAGCGGCTCCTTCCAAGAGGTCGGTTGAAAAGAGGAGCACAGAGGTGACTCCAAAAAAGAAATCACAGACTACATGTTGTGTCATCGCTTGAGGAACATATTATTCAATTCTACATTGATGAGAATTTTAGCATTAGCATAGGAAGTATATAAAAATTCAGTTTGCATTTTAGTTTATAGATTTTGTACTCATTATGATATAATTCAAGGCATCATTTATGAATAATTTTGAGCCATTAAAAGATACTTCTTTTGGGAGGAACACAAATGTTAATCTGTTATCGTTGTCACTAAACGAACAAAAATGAAGTAATTTTATTCAAATTGGTGAAATATTGGTAGCCACCTAAAATTTTGTTGAAATATTAGAAAGGTTGGATAGATATTTCTCTTAAATTCTAGAGATGAAAGTGGGATTTTTATACTTGGTTTAAGATACTTAAGTTGATAATGGCATAATAATAAGAAAGAAAATAAATACATATTGACAGAATATTGACAGAAGAGTTATTTTTTTTTCTGTAAAAAGATTATTCAAGATTCAAAATCGTTCTATTTTAGGGCTCAAATAGTGACGATGAATGCAATGGCTAAGCAACTTAAAGATTAATTTCATAATGAAGGTGACAATGACATTATAAATTTGGAAATTAAATAGTTAAATAATTTATTTCTTTTCGATCAAGCTTAAGGTTTCAAGTGCTCTTGTTATATCTCTAACAGATTCATATGCAAAATTATCTCCCAATTTCTTTAAAATAATCTCGTCAGCATATTTCATCTTATGTTCTACTGACTGAACTTGGTCATAATAATTTTTTAGGAATTTAGATTGAATAGGTTCATACTCTACAGTTGAATCGTCTGAAAACATGGTGTTGCTACAATCAGTCCGGGTTGGTAATTCATTTTCACTTAATGGAGCCGAATAGTGGATTGATTTGTATCGTCCTTCTTTGCAGATATTATAACTTATCAGTTCTGAACTTATTGACTTGTATGAAAAACAACTCAATGACTTTTCACTTCTTGAGGATATTGAATCGGAATCATTTTTACTGTTTTGTAACCTATATTTTGACTTCTTGAATTTTCTAGAACTACAAGTGATGTATTTATTGAGAAGAGGTTCGGAAGTCGTATCGGTGCTTGTTAAATCTTTGTTGAGTAAGTTAGATACCTGAGAGTTGAAACTACATATCAGGTAAACTTCATTCTTTTTTTTATTTTTCTTTTTCATTCTGATTTTCTCTTTCTTTTCTGCTTTTGCATCATCAGCATTACTTTTGTCTTTATGTAATTTATACCACATTCTAATTATGTTTATTATAATTATTATGCTTATTATTATTATTAAAATTGTAGTTTCTAGTTAATAATTGGCCTCGATATTTTTGGTTACTTCGCCTTTAGATTCTGACAGAATTATAATTACATCAATAGAACATCGATACTTTTTAAATAAATGAAGTGCCTTTGTTTGTGTAACAAATAACTTACAGCGTATGAACCGGAATAGTGGAATAAAACTTCAATCTATTATCAAAAATAAGAAAAACTCTAATTTATTTAATTTGTTTAATAATTTTGGAAGCTGAAGGTATAGTTTTAGGCAAAGCTATAATTATCGGGCTATGGATGTCACAATATTCAACAAAATCTTAATATACCATCTTCCTTCAGGACTCTATAATTATTATACATATTTAATGACGGAAAAAATGAAAAATAGGAAATGAATTATATAAGCTAATTTAATTCTTTTAATTATATATATGATGAGAATCAGTTACGTGATATATATCAGGACAATCAATCACTGTGTCACTTTTTTATAGAAGAGTTAATTTTACGCGCCTATAATTTACTTGCGGTCGCTGTATAAATTTGATTTGGCCTGGGTAAAAATCAAAACGCTTGAGACTAACAACTTCGACTTTTTGAACAGATCTGATATTTAATGGAGATGTTTATCCGACTCAAAAATATTTTTATTCTATCTAATTAAAGAGTGGACATATATATATATAAGGAGTATTTAGAGGCGGAACTTAAGATAGTATCCATCTCACTCTGTTCATCAGATGTTTTTAATGTCATTGTTCGAGTTAAATTCATTTAACAGCCAGGTTCTACTACTGTGAGTAAATCTTATTCCCTTTATATTATTTAAAACCTGACATCATACAGTTGATCAATATTTTTTATGAATAGAATTAAACTCCGAGACCCCTCTATTTGTTTTGACTTCCCCGGATGTTGTTAATAATTATTTATATTTTGCAATTGCATTTATAGTCATTCTTGCAGCATCAAAGACAAAATGTTAAACTAACGTTTTTCATAAAATAAGTCAGAATAAATTTAAAATTTGAACATGGAGACTTGGTTCCTATTTATATACCAAATGTCTAGCCAAAATTCTTCCTAACAAACTGGTTATTTCTTTATTAATGTCTGACACTTTAAAAAAAAAAAACTAGAATTGTTTCTAAAGTTCATAGTGAAAAAGGATTTTTACTTCTCCAACAAATTAGTAGGGCGTGTGGTCTAGTGGTATGATTCTCGCTTTGGGTGAATTCCGAGATACACTTGGGATACAAATCATTCAAATATGCGAGAGGCCCTGGGTTCAATTCCCAGCTCGCCCCAATTAATATTTTTTAAATTTTTACTTTTTCCGTACATTATGAACTACAATTACCCTGCTACATCATGCAGACACAAAAATAAAAAAAATTGAAAACAAAAAATGAACACAAAAATTTCGTCTTTTTTACGCCTTCCTCCCTCCCCTCTAACAAACTATCGTAGTGATCTGACCAACCTCGCCTAGTCCTCCCACTTCCCTTCTCTCCTTCTCTCCCGTCACCCAGCTCAGTTCTCAGCCAAAATCTCCAAAGAAATCAAGAGCATCAAAAAAAAAAGTAGAAGTTGAATTTCAGGTTCGAATCATTTATTATTATTATGTTTTTTTTTTGAGAAGAAATTAGATTACTTACATCTCTTTATTTCTTATCTTTTAGCTATTACCCTTTAATCTACAAAATCAATTTTGAAGCATCAGCGGCTAATTTTTTTTTATTTCTCTTGTATTAATTTGTCTCTGTATCTCATTTGTTCCTTTACTATTTTCATTCTATTACAGATTCATTTGAAATGCATTGAAATCTCTTTTAGCATACTAGATTCAGGAACACAAACTTGACGTTAGTGCAAACTAAGACTATATATCCATCTCATATCAAAGGACACAGAACTAAAAAATCAGTCTATTTCATGTTTCGAGTGCGAGTTTATGATATATAAAGAACAATTAAAAAAAAAAAGGAAAAGAATACCTAAGATCAACAACTCGGGAATTCTTCAATCTCTACCTCTCTCTTTAAACCATAAAAGAATGTCGATATGCCCTTCTATTGAAAATGATTATGAGAATATGATGTTATGTGATGATGAATCTCCTGTGTCTGCAGCATCAACAATTGCAAATTTTAATAAATATCACTTTAATGATTCTTATTTTGTTCATGATCTTTCCAATAGAGGTGATATTTGGATTACAGAAAATAGATTATCTGTAGAATGGTATATAGATAATCAATGCATTAGAAGATTCAATTTTAAACAAAAAGTATTGAGGGCAGGCTTTGTAGATTTTGAGAAAGCTCCAAACTGTTTGATTATCATATTAAGAGATTTAGCTCATGTCTATAACATTTCAAATGGAAATTCTACAAGCGTATGTTTCCCATTCCCAATCATAGACGCATTTTGGTATTCTCAAGGTATCGTATTAGAAAGAGAAACCTTATGTGTTCTACCTTATCCAATGGAATCTAACCAAAAACACAAGTACATTACATTGACGGATCCAATGTCTCCGTTTGGTTTGGTAACTTTCTCTTCAAGACAAAAATTTAATTCAGATGATAAATATCAAGTTACTTCAAAAATGTTGTTATTAGCTGACGATAAAAAACATAACATTACTGTCTTATACGATAAATCGAGAAATGAAATCAATTTTTATTATACAAGGGTAATGAACTCAAAATCAAAAGATGACATTCATCATAACGAAACTGCAAGTAAAATAACGGATTCAAATAAAATTTTCAGAAAAGTACCAGGATTGAATCGAAGATCAGCTTCAATTAACTTACAACATGACATGAATCTCCACTTACCTACTATAAACGAGCCAACGCTATCAAGTACAAACACCAACATATCTTCAGCCGTTGATCCTTCATCAATAGTTCCACAATCAATTTCTAAAAGAAGCATGTCTGCAACCATTGATAGAATGGGTACTTCCACTACTCCTACTGTAATAGATTTTACTCCAAATTCGGCCCAACAATTACAACAAGAATATATTAGTCAATCTATATCTTCAAAAGATATTATACTGACAAAAGTATCAACTTTACCATTGCCACTAGACTTTGATCCTGAAAACTGTAATCTTCAATGCAAACCTTTGCGTTTCAAAGACAAGGAAGCAATTGTAATTTATGATAAAGAATCAGATTTTGTGAAGGTTTGGTCAATTACGCTAGTACCACATATAGTCAATTCGTTATCTTTCAAATTTAATGGCGATGCTTCACATACTCTAATAAAATCATCCGATATAGAACTTTCTGAACAAATTCTGGAAATTCTTCCCTATGATTGTGATAAATTAAAGGAATGTCTAGTAATAATTACGAGGACCTCAGATGTATTATATCTCTTCAACCCATTCATCGAGTTTTCAATCTTCCCAATTGAAATACCCAGTTATTTGGAAGGCATAGTAAAGGATATTTGTTATATTTCCTCAGAAAGAATTATAATAAATAAATTTTCAAAACCACATTCAACAGAGAACTTTAGACACATACGACAAACAATATTTCCTTATCCTAGACATCAGTGCATACAATTATATTTTGAGGCCTTAAGCTGGATTTGTACTAATGAATTTTTTTACGCATTATCATTTTTATGGCAGCATATTATGTCAGTTTTAGCCGACGAACATGATGAAATAAGCGATTATAGAAAGGAAGATTTAGAATTCGAAGCATTTTTTAAATTAATAAAAGTGATATTGTTGGATACCTCATCAGAAGAAATCAATAACTTAACCAAGAACCCTGTCATTTCATATATTAAATCTATGGATGTGACATCATTGATGCCAAATGTCATCTTAGGGTTGCATCTGGTTAGAGAAGAGTTACTACTAAACGTTTTATGTTCTAATGATGCCAAAAAACTTGGAAGATTATTATTTTTTGCTACGTCTGTCATGAACTGGCCATCAACGTGGAAAGATTATTATAAAACTGACATAAGCAACGTAGATGAACCACTACCATCCATTTACTATAATACATTTCCCTTAGATGAACCCCCATCAATTTTAAAGTCTCTATTTAGTATAAACGAAAGTAGCTATATCCCAATCACTCCATTTATCAATTTTTCAAGATTAATAGAAAAGGATCATGAAGTAGATGAATTAATAACGCCAAGATGTTTAAAACTTTTGAGGTTATATGAGCTAACGCATTCAACTGACTTCTCTATAGAGCAGATTTTAGAAATCTTAACGAAGCTTAACATAAAGAAACCAGAAATTGATACATACCCAGTTGGAGTGCTTACGCCACTTAGGTATTTGTTGAAAAGAATTGAGGATAGTATATCCAGCATATCTGAAGATGTGAACCTTGAAGTTATAGCAAGAGCTGATTTAAATAGATGCCTGGAAAGAATAAAGCAATTAAAATCGGATAGTTTCCCCTCTTCACAAGATATCTTACCAAGATATATCCCACCTAAAGGAAATAGTTATGAAAATGAGGTCGCAAAACCAAAAAATATATATTCATTGGTTACAGAAATTGTAACAAAATCAATAAGCGGTAATGCTAATAAGAGTTCTGTAGATAATGAAGAAGAATCCAATACACTTGACGATGGGTATTCATTAAAGCATAATGCAGGATTAATATTTTCTCAAGACAGAAGGTTTCATAATGCACTTTCTTTGTTAAGTTATTACAAGCCACATAACATTTCATTCTACTCAAGGCAAAGCGAGTATATAAAGATAATAAACCAAAAGAAGACATTTGCGAAAATTATTTTCTTAAGAACTTGTGCCTCTGGTATTGGTTGGGGTGCTATTGCATATGCTACTGAGAAGCCTTTATCGACTCAAAAATGCTCTAGGCCAAAGTTAAATTATGTTTGTCTTTTTCCTGATGGAACAAAGGTTTCATTGAATACAACTGATGTGGATCATGATACTGCACAATGGGGTGAATTCCATGGAGGTGTAAGTTGTGGACTACGTATCTCAAAAAAGGCTAAAAACATTAACGGAAGTTGGATTGCATTTAATAAACCAAGGGTGTTAGATGCCCAGCATGGTGGATTCCTTTTAGGTTTAGGTTTAAATGGACATCTTAAGGATCTTGAGGAATGGCATGTTTATAACTATCTAAGTCCCAAGCTGACACATGTTAGTATTGGGTTGCTTCTTGGTATGAGTGCAAGTATGAGAAAAACTATGGATTTAAAATTAACCAAGGTTTTAAGTGTACATATTGTTGCATTGTTACCAACAGGCTCTAGTGATTTAAATATCAATTTAAAAGTTCAAACTGCTGGACTTATTGGAATTGGGCTTTTATACCAAGGTTCACAACATAAAAAAATGAATGAATTATTGATTTCACAAATAACCTCAATGATAGAAATAAATGAAGAGTTCGTGGCTGATGAAGGGTACAGAATGGCAGCCGGTATTGCTTTGGGATTAGTTAATTTAGCTTCTGGCACAAAACTATCATCTAGAAATTATTTAGAAAGTGGAACTGAAGAGAGAATTTTTAGCATAGACAATAATGATAGTCATGAGAGTAATAAGAGCAATATCGATCCCATTATTATTAACCACTTAATCGCACTTGTTTCTAAAACTTATGATATAGAATCTAAGTGGATTCCAGAGAATTCTCAAATAGGTACAGTTTTGGCGCTTATGTTGATATTTTTAAAAACAAGGCACTCACATATAGCTGAAACGATCAAACCAAATCTTCAGTTTTCTTCCTCAAAAAATATAGGATGTAGACCTGAATTATACTTCTACAAGGAATGGGCCTATCATATGATTATGTGGGATACTATCGGAGAGGATTTATTATTTGTATTGAGAGATATAAGTTTACAAATGCCTGATACCATTACTACGGATAAGCTACCTATCTATTATATTATTGGGGGTCGTGTAATGTCAATGGGTATCAAATATGCCTCAACCGGAGATGAACAAGTCCGCGATTCATTGTTAAACTTGTTAGACAGATTACTACCATTTTACCAATATGTAGGGGATGCGAAGTTAGATTTCAGGTTAACAATTTATGGTATAAATATCCTCATCAATGTTATTTTAGTATCAGTTAGTATGGTTATGTGTGGATCAGGTGATCTTAAAACATTTCAGAGGATTAGATATCTTCATGAAGTAGTTACCGGTAAGCATTCTGATCTCTTCAAGCAGACCACAAAAAATTCTGATCGTGATGCTGATATTAATGAAGATTTAGATAGTTTCAATCATTCTAATGAAGATATTGATGAAGATCCCGATGAGTCATCATCTCCAATTGATGAAACCATAATTGATCCTGCTAATGAAGACGAAAAATTAAATGATGATGAAAATCACTTCTCAAAATATATTTCAACAAGTTTATCTCTAGGGTTTTTGTTTCTTGGATCTGGGCAATATGGATTGAAAACGTCAGATATTGAAAGTGTAGCATATTTGATAATATCTGTACTTCCAACATATATGGCGCCATACCATCTTAGTGAAATAAAACATTTCTGGAGTTTGTGTGTTGATCCTAGATGTTTAGTTTTAAAGGATGTTCACACGGAGGAACCAATTAATAACATCCAGTTAGAAGTTTATGTAAAACAAGATAAAAGAAATCCAGTACAAAAAAAACAGTTGGTTTCGCCTTGTCTTCTACCAGATTTAACCAAAATAGGGGGAATAAGAATTGAAAATCCAGATTATTATCCATTTGAGGTCCAATTTAGTGAAGATATCACAGCAACGGATTACTTTAAAAATGGAATTGTTGTATATTTACAAAAAAGGGAAAAAGAGAATTATTACGATGAAGATCAAATATTCGAAAACAATAGACCTAGTGTCCAGCAAGTGCTGAAAGGAAAGATTGATTTAGAGAAAAGAAAAATTGGAATTGATTCAAGACTTAGGGGAGCAATTCCTTCGGAGGCACTAGTTGAGGAACTAGGCTTGAAATCATTAACTATGTATGAAATAGATAATGATTTGGCAGAAATTAAGGTTACCAATAATGAATCTCAAAGGTATAATTTAGAAATGGTATGTTCAGGAAGTAACAGTGGCGGTGACGTTGTAGATTACCAATTGGAATTATGGAGAAGGAGTCATTCCCTCTAATGACACCCTCTGAATCATAATTATCCATTGATTAAAAAAAAAAAGTGCATATATTAGATTTAAATATTCTATAGATGATATTTACTAATTCTTTCTCATAGTTTTTTCATAATTTAACTGAAGAATTTAAATTATTATTACTATTATTATTACTATTATGATTGTTATGATTAATATTATTATTTTAATGCATCGACTCGGTGTATTTGTTAATATGCCAAATATTACTTTTATTCAACTCTACCTAATTCTTGTCCCATTTTGACTTTGTCACCTACATTGATTTTATATTCAAACGATCTTGGCGCTTCAAAGCATAGAACAACAGTACTACCTAGTTGAAAACCGCCCATATCTTCACCTTTAATTAAAGGTACACCGCCTAAAATCTTACTTGAATTTCTGTAGGTTGCTTCATAACAGGTTTTTGGTTGAACATGTTTATGTGACTTAGTATTGGTAACCAGTTCTTTATCAAAATTTAAAACAATTGAACCGACATTAGTGGCACCGACGGGAGTCATACTAAAGAAACCATGTTTCCAATGTCCCAATAAAGCTACACGTTCATTTAGAACGAACAAATTAGGAAAGTTACGTTGAAAATATGGTGCTACAGAAAACAAAGCACCTGGGAAATGCCTACGGACCTTACACACCCAATCAATGGGGGAATGGTAATGATGATAATCACCTGGAGCCAAATAGATGACAGCGAAGTAAAGTTCTGTATCCTTTGGTTCCTTTGATGACAGACTGTATGAAGGATAATGTAGAGAAAGTTCACTTAGTAATTTCATAGTTTTTGTTACGCTTGGTTTAGAATCATCTGAAGCTTTATCACCTTCACTTTTGAATTCCAAAGAATTATCGATATCGGTGTTGTTTCCAGAACCAATTGTTTCGATATCGTTTGCCTTTGCAAATTCTTTATGCTTTGCAAAATCCAGATTTAAATCTAAACTTGATTCACTCTTGGACATTAATGGGTGGGAATGGGTTCCCAAAAACTCTTTAATTGAATAAGTCATACCTTTGACTTGTTCGATTTCTCCAGTTTCTGAATTTATAATGCCCAGTTGTAAAACTTTTCCGTCACTTGGACAAACGATTACATCTTGACCTTGTTCTATTGGTCTTGCTTCTGGCTTTATTCCACGATAGAAGAAGTTTGATAAATTTGTATAATGTGTTAGATCTGCATCTACCATTTCATCCAATTCTACACCGAATAAGTATGAATAGAATCTGTAACCCCAAGGTCTGAACCAAATTGGCAATGTCAAGTTATTAAATTGTCCCCATAACCTTGATACAGCGTTTAAGGGTAAAGTAGAATAACAAAACAAGAACCAGTTATTGTTTGAGATTTTTATCTTTCTCGAATTACTAGTAGATTTCCCATCGATAGCGTCATTAGCATCTTCATCATGATCAAGTTTTTGAGTACCTAACGATGCGAAAATAGTACCTAAAGCAATTGTAACACTTGTCAAGATCATGATTTTCATTACAGTTGAACTAACGGGTCTTTCATCATTTGTAGCATTATTACTATTTTTCACGAAATTTTGTAATTTTTGTTGTTGTTTAAAGATTGCAGAACCATTACTAAATCTTCTATTCCATAGGATTGAAGTTTTATTACGACACGGGATCTTGGCATAAATCTTTCCAACGGGTATTCGACTTGCCAAGAGAGTTTTCCCGTGGTTTAACGCACTCTTTACTGGTATCATAATAGTTATTAATTGTAGTTTTTTTTTGTCTTGAAATAAATTCTAACAGATTGAAATAACTGACAAACTAGAAAATAAAAAAAAAAAAAAGAAAAAAAATGTAGTGATATATAAGTATATTTTTTTTTTGATGGTAAAAGAATTTGTTATCTTCTACAATGTAACAACAAAAGTACAATAAAAACCTAGCTCAAAGTCAATTGAACCCAAACTTCCTAGCAGTTACCAAATGAAAAAAAAACCACTCCCCTTTTCAACGATGAGTTGGTAAAAGCACAAAAAAAATAAAAGAAGGTTATCAATTATAATACACCAAACGTCAAATTATATATTTACCTCTAGGAAGGTATGTAATCCACAGCAACAAGATGTATATATGTATCTCTGTATTTGATATAAGTAAGAGACTATTAATAAAAGACCGAGACAAATAACAAGATTAATTGAACAGTACTTAAAGCTAAAGCTAAAACAAGAACTAAAACTAGCACTTAAATTAAACTAAAGCAAAGTAATCAGAACAGAATTAAATAGAATAAAATAGATTAGAATAGAATAAGTTATAAACAGCAAAACCAAAGTAATGAGTTTATATTTGACCTGATCTGAAAAAAAAAAAAAAAAAAAAAAATATCCAAAAGTTTAAACCTTTATATATAATTTTGATAGCTTCTTCTCGATTTATGTCAGTTTTTCGTAATTTCGTAGTTTCGTAATTTCGTAATTTCGATTCGGTTTCGAATTTCAACAAAACCAAACAAAACGAAACAAAAAAATGTAAAAATGTAAAAATTGGCGGAGAAGGATGGGTTAGACGCGGCAATAAATCACATGGTCTCGGTGCATTGGAGCATTTAGCAGGGTGGGACTTGGTGGGACGCAAGGGAAGATAAAAATCCTGCAGAAGGAACAAAGCGTCGTCGGTGTGTGTGTGTGTCTCTCTTTGCGCGCCCTCGCACGCGTAGATATAGAAATCGAGGAAAAAGAAATGAATGGTCGATCTCGGTAAACGGCCCTACGATGGACGGATGAAGGAAAGAAAACAAAACAAACTACATTTTAGGGGTGTATCTGTGTATGCACCTTTTTGGGGAGGGGAGAGCGAGGGAGAGGGAGAGGGGCAGGGTCAAACGATAAGTGAGAGACACATCTGATCGTCAGACACGGAGAATGGCCATATGTTTTCTTTTAACAGCCGATAACCTCATAGTATACGAAATTGTGATGAAAAATGGACTTTTATTTTTTTTGTCCTAGGACATTTAACGCGTTTCAATTACAATTATTTTTGTCTTTTCATTTTTTTCACTTTTCATAACCAAAAGACATATTAGAATTCTTTTGCAAAAGAAAGTTTACGCGTCTCTACAGCCTTCTCTCTTACTACGTCTACAAAGATCAATAGATCGAGAGTTTCGAACTTATACATGATACTCATCGATACCAATTACACAATTTGGAACTTAAATTCTATTAACATACATATATACATAAACACACAATCACATATACATATAAGTATAAATATCAATATGTATTTGTGATTAGATCGAAACCCATTTACCTGAACATCATCTTTAATTCCTAGCCTGTTTCTCTACTCCATATAACTCAATATCGAGAAATGTTGGTTGCTGTTAGTGGAACTAAGTTCAGTGGTTTGGAATTAGCCATCGAAGGCTTAGTCAAAGATCATGGTTTTCAACTAATTGACAAAGACAAAAATGAAGATGAGATATTGGATTATGCCACTAAAAATTATACAAAGAATTTAGTAGTAGAACTAGAAAAATTATCTCTATTGGAAAAATTAGAAAAACGTCCATTCTTCGTACATTTATCATTGGATGCTTCAATTAATCTAAGGTTGAATTTGCAAAAACTGAATCCAAAGTTCAAAGAAAATGATGGCATAGATTTATCTGATATACTAAAGGCGATCGACGAATGTGATTACGAAAATGAATCAGTCTTAGTACGTGAAAGGGCAAATTTCAAATTTAAAATAATAACAAAAGATCTGTCAGATATTAAAAATCGTTTAATTAAATCCATCGCTGAACAATTACAAATGTTACAAAATCAATCTTCTTCCAATGAACTGTCCCCTCCTTTAAGACCCGATTGGGATACTTACTTCATGAAATTAGCCACTTTGGCTGCTTCTCGTTCAAATTGTATGAAACGTAGAGTCGGTTGTGTTATTGTTAGAGATCGTAGAGTCATCGCTACAGGTTACAACGGTACTCCTCGTCATCTAACAAATTGCTTCAACGGTGGCTGTCCAAGGTGTAACGATGGCAATTCACATACTTTACATACTTGTCTATGTTTACATGCTGAAGAAAATGCTTTGCTTGAAGCTGGTAGAGATCGTATTGGCCAAAATGCAATCTTATACTGTGACACATGCCCCTGTTTAACTTGTTCTGTGAAAATTGTACAAACAGGAATAAAAGAAGTTGTATATAGCCAATCTTACCGCATGGACGAAGATAGTTTCAAAGTCCTGAAAGAAGGGGGTGTCAATATCAGACAGTTTAATTTCCTGCAAGATCCAAGAATCATCTTAATATAGTCATACCAATTATTTAAATAAAAGGAACAAAAGAAAAAATAGAATAAAATAAAATAAATTAAATTAAGCGCATTTACAATCTGTAAACTTAAGTTTCTCTGTATACGTATGGTCCTGGTCTGGTTTCACAAGAAAATTTCATGTCAACTAATTTATCTTCATGATAATATAATTCACCAGATATTTCATCAGCTGGATTGATTGGTCCTACTCCTGATGGTGTACCTGTTAGGATAATATCACCAGGCTCTAAAGAGATCATAGTAGAGATGTGTTGAATAATCTTGTGAAGTGGGTTTAACATCAATCTTGTACTATCATCTTGTCTTAATTCACCATTTACGGAGCAAGTTACCCTAAATGCATTCTGTAAATCTTCTTTGTCCTTAATAAAGACGTCTTTTGGAATGAACTGTGATATTGGTAGAAATGTGTCAAAACCTTTACCAATCGACCATGGTAAACCCTTTTTTTTAGCCTCATCTTGTACATTTCTTGCAGTTAAATCTAACGCTAATGCAACACCACTTATGGCATCATATACATCACTAGCTAGGAACTCTTCAGAAGTCACATTAGAGATATATTTGTCCATCACCAATGCCAATTCTATTTCATGATTAACAATAGTTTGTCTAGGGATATAAATTGGACCAGGGTTTGTGCCATCGTCATTTAAACCATGGAAACTTGAATTATTTGGCAATGATTTCTTTTCATGTTCTAGTGAAATAGGTGTTATTATGCTAGATGATGGCTTTAAAAAGAAAAATGGTTGCTTAGGAGTAGGATTGTTTAATTCTTTTATATGTGCTGCGTAGTTTCTACCTATACATATGATTTTTCTTGCTCTTTTCAAATATTGATAACTCATTATGCTACTGACTTCTCAGTTTTGATGTATTCACCAAAGGTAAGAAACTGAAATATAATAAAACTAAATTAGGCAATCTTGTTTAATAAGTGGATGTTATATGCTCATGTTCATATATATACAAATCTCATTGGATACATATAGTTTTCCAATGAGGAGTCATTACTTACTAAATCCATTGGAGCTAGAAAAAAACCAAAGTGAACTAGGTGGGCATCTAAGAAAGCAAGTTTAAATGCAATGAACTGAATTATTAACCCAATGTTAGTTATATTTTTAAAGTATACAAACTTATGAAATTAACTTAATTATACAATTACGTGCAATACCGTCCTTTTCAGTTGGCGAACTCAGCAGAGATTATGAAGGACATTCTATATCAAGATCAAATTATTATAGTAACTCTTGTATCCTCATATTTTCCGCTGCAGAAATGAAATTTTAAATATAGAATGTGGCATTTAAACCACACCAAGTATTGTTATTCTATGATCAATCAATAATAGATCGATCAGATGAAGTCTTGCTTAAAAAAAAATTAACAATAATCAATGATAAAACTATTGTCACATATTGAAAACCCGTTAATGACTTATCTAGCTTCGAATTGAACCATTCTCTTGGTTCTAGCCTTCAACAAAATTCTATGACCACAATCCTTACAACGAACAGGATCAGTTCTAGATAAGGACAATTTACTGGAGCATTCTGCACAGATATATTTCAAAGTAGCGGTTCTAGCTTGGGAAGCACCAGCTGCTGCTGCATCCAAGTTGGTTGGGATCTGAAAACCTTCACGGGACATCTTTATATTCTTTGAACTGTTCAACAACACTGTCTAGCTCGATCAACAAGAAATATTTCCTAATAACTTGATATTAAACTAAATTATTGCCATCTTTTTATAAAGTTTAACTTTAATTTTCCTCATCGTCTTCTTCTCTTTTCGAATTATTAATGAAAAAAAAATTTTGATATTAATGAAAGAAGGTAACATTACCCGGATCATATAATGAAAATTGGTATGACGCTACCAAATGGTGATAATTTTGATAGTA